TGTCGTGGTCCCTTGAGGTGGTAAAACATGAAAGACTTCAAAGAAGGAACGTTTTGCACAATGCATTAAAGCTTTGGATCGCCCATTAAACTGTGTATTACGATTTTACATGAAGATTAAAGACTTCTTCAGCCATATTCCCCTCCGGCACCTCCTTTACATGGTAGTCTGCTCGACGTGTTAAACACAGACGTGTAACAGTTCGGCATCGTTCACGCCATTGCTTAATCACAAGGAGAAAATCACGTCATGAGAAACTTAGGCTAGGGACATGGAACGATCTCGTTGATTGCTGATTGACTGAAAAAATGTCTCTGACAAGAAATGACTTTTCTTACATAATGACAGAATTTGCACAAGTGTCCTATACTGGGCTTCTAATCAATATGTGAAAGTGATTTACTCCTGAATGTCAGTTTAGGTGAAAATGTCAATACAAGGTTTTCAATCTTAATCTGAGGGGAATTAGCATTGTAGCCTCCGTGCACAAGTTCCTAGCTCAACCAACGCTTTCGTGAACGTCGACTTTACCGGGTTAAGGCGTCGTCATCTCTGTCGTAAATCTGTGCCAAACCGCCGGCTTTCCTGACAAGTACTGAGACTATGTGGATCTCATTTGTCCTGAATCCATCAAAATCATTGTCCAACAGCTGTCAGCTGGTCATGCAAACTGGTGCTATGTCAAACACTCCCATTCAGACTTTGAACCGAGGCAGTAGCCGGACTATGCACTACGTTGAATCTGTTACGTTTTATTACGAGATTATTCAACGCGTGTATTAATTAACGGTCGGGACTTAATACATGCATCATCTGTATTTTGTTAAATGTTAGCGTTACAGCTTGGTATCTCCTATTAAGTTAGAATATATCTATCCATGTATCTATCTATCTATCCTTTCTGTCCATCAGTCTCTATATGTTGTTATGTGTAGGTAATATTAATGGCTTTGGGTAGTGTTGAAGTTGTATTTGTAGTGGTTATCGGTAGCTGCAAATTATTGAAATGCCAGTAAAATGTCGGGTACAGTCGTAGCCAGATTTTATAACAGCTGTCGGCGGCAACGGAATTTAGAGTCATTCACCTCTGGTTGTTTGCAGACATGGCAGCCTTAATCGTTCGAGGAGTTTCGGGATGGAACAGTTTCTGCAAGGGTGGCTGTACCTATATAGGAGCGACAAGTGGTCGATCCGAGGCCTTTACACCCTGACATGTGTCTTATCCACTTGCCAAGTACGGATTCAGTTGTAAATTCCGAATTCCTACCAGCTTCCAGCACTAGTCTGGTTTCAAAAAGGGAGAAGGGCCAGTTTCAAGACATTCGACAATGACAGAATTATGGACATTAGTGAGTGCACTCGATTTTAGGGCGTGTTACTAATTGCTGCTTCCATTATTTTGACCCATTGTTTTGCCTTTTGCTGTAAACCTACAACTGAATGTTTAAATATACTTTGTTGATTATCCATTGATCTTGTGTGGTCATTTAGCGATTTAAACATTTAGTTATCTAGGTTAACCTTTGTGTTTCAATTTGGAATAAACCTCGCAACACTGTACACTCTCAATCCCAATAGGGGTTCGATCACCGGCCGCGTCATACCAAATGGCGTTAAAAGAATTTTCTTGTTGTAACCCTGTCTGGCGCTCGGCAATAAGGGGCTAAAACAAGGACTGGTCGGCTCGGAGTCAGTATGCTGCGTCTGAGTGGGGTATTCATGTTTAACTGCGGCATGGTATCTCAGTGAGCTCGCACTATAAATCGGCATCAGTCCGGACAAGTACAAACAGCAATAAGTGCAATAACCTTGGACGCGACGTTAAACCCAATTCACCTCACCTCACCTCACTTCACCTCACCTCACCTCACCTCACCTCAACCCCAATAGGTTTTCAAAGGACCTGCTGATCAAATAGAGGCAACACAAGAATGGTCCATCAGACACGATGGTACGGCGGCATGGGGTAATTCCACACCAAGGCAGACTTTCCTTTGAAACTCACTAAACCAGCGTTAAAATACCTGTTGTCGCGGCCTCTGATCTCATGTGATATCAAAGCAATGCAAAATATACAATACCAATTTAAAAGCACTTCAAAGACAGTTGCAGTCTACAACGGAACGATGCTCTTTGGCATTTGAATTGATGAAAATGTCTTGCCAGCTACAACCGTTTATAGCTTATGGCGGATAGTTCTGATGTTCCGTCCAACTTTTGAATCGTAGTTTGAAGTATGTCGAATTCATCGCAAGGTATTCTAGTTTGAAAACAGTGTCCAGAGCTAACTTCATCTTGACCAGCGTGACGTCATTACACATCACATCAGCAATCGTGTCAGCGTTACACACACTCCGGCGCAGTGATGACTTAGCAATATGCCACTGCCACAAGCTAATTTGCATATCACGTGACTATTCTCTTGCTTGTAAACAAACGAGCTTATTCTGAAATGATAGCAGTCGGGCATAGTGAAAGCCGTTCAGTGCGATTTACAGACTGCTTTGCATAATTTGAAAGGTATGCTATTACAGCTGTGACAGCGAGAAGTATGACAATGTATCTAAATACAAAATAATGTTCCCATCTTTTTCTATCCGTAGGGCTTCGATGTGTATACAGTCACTGTAAACAAAGGATAAATAGACTAATGGAAAGTTGTTCACGTTTGAGGATATTTCCTCAATGAGTGAGTAAGTGAGTATTGTTATACGCCGCTTTGAGCAATATTCCAGAAATATCACGGCGGGGGACACCAGAAATGGGCTCCATACATTGTACCCATGTCGGGAATCGAACCCGGGTCTTCGGCGTGACGAGCTTACGCTTTAACCACTAGGCTACCCGACCGCCCTTCTCAATGAGAGTTAGGGACCAACCATTGAATATTCTGGGGAAGGCCTGGGATTTTGTATCGAGATTAGATATTTTAAGATGTATTTTCTTCGAGGCTGTCAATTTCCTCTCTTTTTTCAACACTCTGAGGGGCGGTCGGGTAGCCTAGTGGTTAAAGCGTTCGATCGTCACGCAGAAGACCCGGGTTCGATTCCCGACATGGGTACAATGTGTGAAGCCCATTTCTGGTGTCCCCCGCCGTGATATTGCTGGAATACTGCTAAAAGCGGCGTAAAACCATATTCACTCACTCACTCATTCAACACTCTGAAGCATAAATGATTTTCCTTATAAAATCCCATCACTCACTCACTCGGTTGAGACGAGCGGGCTCCGCCATGTGCAGCAAGCTCTACTGAAATCATACGGCTCATGTGGTCTCACGCGGCGCCAATACAGTCCGAATTATCTCCCTTGAACACGATTCACAACAAGTGGATTCATCATCATGACTCCAATACATAGACTTTTAGTTATATCCTTGTGTTAAGAAGTTTATATTTTATATTGTTAGCATTGTCATCTAGTACGTGTGTATATACTTGTCCCATAAGGCAACTCTTCTGCTAAATCTCTCAATTTCTTCATGTGCGAATCCATTCTTGGTACCCCCCGCAGTGACTTGGCTGAATATTTTAAAAGGACGTAAAATCAACATCACTAGTTTTAAATTTCAATCACCTGTTGTCATGTTTGCGGTATGTGTTAACATTGTAGACATAACATAAACACCTTGTTTTCATTCCATAAATATGAAGTTGTTGATTCTCACTAAACCATGCTTGTCGTAAAAGGCCACTATGCTTGTCGTAACAGGCAACAAACGGGATCGGATGGTCATTCTCACTGACTTGGTTGATGCATGTCATCATATCCCAATTGTGTAGATCGATGCTCATGATGTCAGTCACTTGATTGTCTGGTCCAGACTCCATTATTTACCAAGCGCCGTCATATAGCTTGAACATTGCTGCGTGTAGCGATAAACAACAACAAACAAAGAAACATATCCTTGATATGAGTCCCCAGAGGTCTGGTTCCTAGTAGCATATGCTGGTTGTTTGGGGCCACTAGACATTGCTCGTAAATATTAACCACACATCTCTACTATTTCGACTTTATCACGAGCATATGTTTATGAATCACAATCAAACAGTGATGACACCAGGTGTTTGCGAAAAGGTGAGAGTATTCTATTTGCAATCATAAGACATTTCCTTATTTGAATCGTACATTAATTTTGTTTGTTTGTTGTTTAACCCGCACTCAACAATATTCCAGCTACATGGCGGAGGTCTGTAAAAAGTCACGTCTGGACTAAACTATACAGTGATTGACATCGTGAGCCTCGATCTACTCAACTGGGGTCCGATTGCAGGCATCAACCAAATCAGCGAGACTGATCACCCGATCCCGTTAGTCGCCTCTTACGACAAGCACATACAGATTGCTGAAGACCAATTCTAACCCGATATTTACAGGGATAAATAGCCGTGCGCTGATTACTCCCTGAAGACATAATAGAGCATGCTTTTATTAACACTATTTTATAAAAAGTTTTATATAATGTATATCTACAACTGTATAAAGTATGTAATATACCTGTAATTGAGTCCCAGATTCATCGTTCATTGTATATGTGATTGATGAATGGTATGCAAAACCAGGTGTATTGCTTTTTTGAGAGCGAAATATGATATTGATATAAACATCAGGTTGTCTCAGAAACATTATGTAATATTCAACTGCTTCTCAAATAAAGATTGCGTTATTATTATACTCTTTAACGATTCCGGCGACACACGATTTTAAAATAATTAATTCTTTGGTTTAATAGCTCCCAATTCTATCCTGGAACATGATTGTCTGTAACACGTCTATAGGTGATGATGTGATACCATCTTTCAATATTCCAGGAGACACACAAATATTTTGTTGCCACATATTATACACAAATGTTGCTCCCTTTCTGTCCGAGTTATAACCACTACATACGTTACAGCCACTACATACGCTACAATCACTACGAGATTTAGCTATTCCTGATTCCAACACACAAACTCACATACGGTTTTTGATGCACCCGACAAAATAGGCGTTATAGAAAAGTTAAGCTGTATTTACCCTGCCCTCGTTATAACGAGTTAATCTGCGTGTGACACTTGGTGTACAAAGCCCCAGGCTGCAAGTTATGCGGTGGTGTGGTGGTCGGACCAACCCCTCAGCACAATAACCAAACGCCGTGTAAAACCGAGGTAAGTGACAGCTGTCTTCGTGCATTAAGCACGATGTACATGCATACTTCTAACCATAGACTGATATCAGACCTAACCATTTCCTTGCTCTATTTTAGTTTGTAACCTTTTACTCCCCCCGTCGAAGATAAACTTGATTCAATGCTTCAAACTGGGTCAGTAAAAACAGGCTAAACCAGGTTTAGTTGATTTGGACCAAACACACGAATGCATGTGTTTTCACTTTCAGATGCCGTTAAGATGCATTCGTTGGGATATGACAACGGCTATAGATTGCTACTCATGCATTTTTTAATCTAGTTCATATAGCATTATTTATACACCCCATCGGCAACTTGTCCTGTTTTTGAAAGAGTCAAGCTTAGATGAATGTATTTTTGTTGGTCTCCCGCTACGCACAGCGGGTCACAACAACGCATACTTCATACATGTGATGAACTGATATCCATGACGCGCATGTGGCCTGTACCCTCTCTAGCGTCACGTGGTCAGGAAATTATCAGCCTTTGCAATGGAGGCTAATTGTTGATATTTTGTGATGTTGTTTACCTCGTGCATCCTCGCTGTGCGTCCATGCGTCATGTACTAGTATATGGTCACGTCTAAATGGTCACGCTAACTGTAATGGCAGTGGTTGTAGTAGACGGAGTAGGAGGAGTATTAGTTGTAGTAGAAGTAGTAAGAGTAGTAGTAGGAGGAAGTGATCACCAATAGTAGTGATTGTAGTAGTAGTAGAAGAAGAAGAAGCAACAGCTGTAGTAGAATCAGTAGGAGTAGTAAAAGCAGTAGTAGTGGTAGTAGTTGTAGAAGCAGTAGTAGTAGTAGTAGTAGTAGCAGTAGTAAAAGCATACGTTTTAGTAGTGGTAGTACGATAATAATGATGATGATGATGATGATGATGATGATATAATATACCGCAATTCGTTTACCTCATCCTCGATAAACAACATTAAATTCTATTATCAAGTGCAGATATCATACACTGCATGAAGTGAGGTGAGGTGAAATGAAACGTCGCGTTCAGGATTGTTGCGCTTATTTAGGACGTGCATGCACGTGTGTGTGTGTGTGTGTGAGTGTGTGTGTGTGTGTGTGTGTGTGTGTGTGTGTGTGTGTGTGTGTGGAGTGAATACCCCACTCAGACTTCGAGCCGACCAATCCTTGTTTTAGCACCATGATGCTGGGCGCCAGACAGGGTAACAACAAGTACCATCTTTTAACGTCTTTTGGTATGACGTGGCTGGGGATCGAATTCGCGACCTTCCGCTATCCGGGCAGACGTCCTATCCACTAGACCACGGAGGCGGTCACACTGCATGATCGAGCATGTTTGCCTAACAGAAAGAAAGTATAGACTTGAAAACTGGATTTGTCAAAAGGTTACACGTTATGAAAACGTTACTAGGCTGAAAACAGTCACTGAAACTAAAACGTAAGGTCCAAAACATGATACCCGTTGGTCAGGTCATACGCGGCTGTAATTTCAGATCCCACTTGTCGGATTCAGTTCGTGCATATAATTGTAATGTATCTGGGTTTAGTCAGGACCAGCATCAGGTGTATTACGCATTTATCCTGGTCGTCACAACTGCCGTATAAAGCCAATCAGCATCCCAGGTCACCGTGACCTCACAGGACAACCACACAGAGGTGGAATACCTCTAGTCACCCGCAGGGAGACATGTTAAACGATAATATCAAAACGCTTAAAAAACAAATCCCAATCCGTCATGGGGCTTCTTACAATCCGTACGCCAACATTCATATAACTACAATGTGAAGTGGGATCTCACCCGCGCTTAAGCAATCTAAGCTTGATACCCATTATACAGTTTTCCGTAATTCGAGCATAGTGACCTGTGGAGCACAAAATGTCATTTCCGCGACTTTAGTGAGCTCGACTCAGTGTTTGCAAATGTAAGGGTATGCGTGGGAGGCGTGGCCGAGGCTGTTCTGAGATATGCAGTGTTTACTCTGGGTCTGTCAAACACTATCGTGTCACCTGAACATGTAGCCAGATTAAGGAATCCTTACACATTTTAAGTGATGTTTATATGGCACATGTAGGGTCGTTAAAATACAAAGTCATCTATTAAAATCATACCCGTGAAGATCCGGGATAGAATAGGTCTTCAGCAACCCATGCTTGTCGAAGGTGACTATGCTTGTCGTGAGAGGCGACTAAGGGGATCGGATGGTCAGGCTCGCTGACTTGGTTGATGAACGTTATCGTATCCCAATTGCGTGGATCGATGCTTCATATAGCTGGAATATTGCTGAGTGCGGCGTTAAACAACATGAAATTGAAACTATTAAAATCAACGTTATTTGGACACCTTTCATAACGACTGACCCCACGGGGATTCCGGATTAGACCAGGTCCCCAGAAAACTATGCTGGTCGCACAGACAAGAGATGATCAAATGGATAGGGTGATCAGGCAGAGTGACTTCGTTGATAATGGTGTGGATCCTTGTCAACATTATCGATCACTGGATTGTCTGGTCCAGATTCGATTATTTACAACCCGCCGTCATGTACTTGGCGGTAATGTACTCATGTACTATAGCAGAGTACGGCGTCCAGTCACAAACAAACAAAAGAGTTTCAAGTTATCACATCATTCTTAAATGTCAAACTCATTCGTGCAAGATCCTAAATTCAGATTCACTACCCCTCTCAGAGCGACTGAACTGCAGGGGTCTGCTCAGTAATGTAATCTTTTGAGAGCGGCGTTAAACAACCAACCTTTCAACAGTTTTGACCACTGTTAATTTTGGGACCTGCCGACAAGGAGTGGCAATAAATATTTGCTTTCGCGGTGACACGGTTGCATGAACAAGAGGCATACTATTGTGATTTGAAACCTTGTGTTTACCAATCAGATTCGAGCATTACCCAAATTCAAAGTAACACACAGTTTCACATTCGTCGCACCCAACAAAGTAACACCTGCATTATATTGTTATCGGTTTCCAAAATACAACGAACATTTTGGCTGATCACGGATCATAGGTCCTTAATTGGCTAGTCGTACAAGTCATGATACAGGCCCGCGAGGAGGAGGTTCCGGAGCGGAATAGCAACAGGGTCTGGTTGCTGCAACGTGTGATTGTTTGCCAGGCCGAGTCGATTATACACACACTGCCATGACATGGATGGAATATATGACCGATAGGACAGTCCTATGGTTCCATGGTTTTTACTCTGGGGAACGATAAAGAAGTGATTCAGTGTGATTATATTATCACATTAACATTACCGTGTCCAGGGTATCCTTATTAGGAGGTTCGGGGGCCTACTTGTTAACGCGTCTTCTTGTTACACAGGTTCGATTCCCAACAGTTACAATATGTGGGAAATTGTTAAAACAGCGATAAGCTCTTTCCACTGTATGTCCTTCACTTTCCAGTTCTCAAGCACTTGACGATGATTCTGATTGTGGTCGGCACAGTCCTGGCGACTGTGATCGCCGTAGTCGCTGTCGTGATGATCACGTGCCCGTGGGTGAAGTATGACGTTCAGTATATCAAGAAAGGAATCAAGCTCATCACAATGCTCAAGAAGAAGTTGCGGTCGCGAGAGTATGCTGTGGACTCTCTGGAGAGGCAGGTGCGCGAGCGTCCCAAACAGACGTTCATCATCTACCAGGACAACAATTACACCTACGAGTTCGTGGACCAGAAAGCTAATCAGATAGCTCGGGCTGCCCTCAAAGTGGGACTCAAGGCTAAAGATGTTGCTGCAATCATGATGCTCAATGAACCAGCTTTCCTATGGACATATTTCGGTAGGCATGATTTACAAAATGCTTCATAAAATAATCATTGTGAATGTGAACATTGGTTTAGGCACATTATTCCACCCTCCGACAGGATAATTCAGCTTTCCGTCATTATTGGCAAGATATTACATAGGGTGGTCGGTGATTTGGAGTTTGTTTGACATCCATACCATGCCTTCTGTCACCCTCTATACCTCTCACGTCACCTTATGTTAGGATATATTTTTGTACTACAGCAATTTCATTGATTAGGAATCTATACTGAACATTTTTTATAATATTTCCACAGTAATAATTATGCATTTCCCCCTATTGTTTAAGGACTGCAGAAGATCGGCGTTTCCGTCTCTCTCATCAACTACCACCTCCGTCACAAGTCTCTCGCCCATTCCATCACCAACTGCAAGCCGAAGTTACTCATCGTAGGTCAAGGTCAGTGTATCATTGATCCCAACAGAGGTCAGTTTATGTGCTGGAATAGTATCGCATGTGGCACGCGAAATAGATAGAGTGGGCTGAGTCTGGCTCCTATTTGGTGTATTAGTGTATTCAGGCCAAAATGCTTGGCAATTCCCTTTAACGTACACAGACGATAACATATTTTGTGTTCATTCAAACTAGGTGATGAACTGTCGTCTGCTCTGAAAGAAATCCAAGATGACCTCGGCGACATCCGGATCCTAACGCATGACGCAGATGTACCCGGCCTGAAGTTCGAGTCCCTCGGCAAGCTGACCGAGAGTGAGTCGAAAGACACAGTCGACTACAAGCACAGAGCGGAAGTGACAGTCACGGACGTGGCATCGTTCATATTCACTTCCGGCACTACTGGTAGGGACATGAACTATTCAGTGTGCGCACGCACGTTTGACGTCTGATCCCTCATCCATTCACCGTTTATATATGTAACTGTTTTGGACTAGGGAGAACAATATATTCCATTGGATACAGCCCCGATTTGCTGAAAAATCTACTTAAGTCACTTACTTCCAAATATATTATACCCTATGTCATAGAAAAGGAACAGTAAATAAGGATTCCAGTTTGAAACAGAAAACTTATTAAGGTTTTGAAAAGGAGATGTCAGCCGCAACTGTCACCTATTTTCGTTTTCGATAACAACATGTTTGTTCAACGCATGAGGCGGGTCATAATAATGTCTAATCGTATTCGTACAACAACCAATATGCAGTCAAAATTCATTAGCTTCAGCTGATGCAAGTTGTCGAAGGTGTCTTAGCATGTTAGGCAGGAGTATAACGTATATCATCCTGTTATGTGGAGGCAGGCTATAAACTCCGGATGGTTTTTGTTTGCTGATAACATCTCATCCGTCCTAGTCTTGTATGCCTGGTGGGTCCAGAAGTGGAGGGGAGAGATCCGGGATCCGCCTGTGTGTTCCTTTGTTGTGATTGTTCAAGTGGTCATTTCCATGGTTCAAACACTTCGTCCGGGTTACACAAGGCTAATAACATTTCCATGGGATTGTTTAATGTTAACGTGTGATCATACAACAACCCACGCTATCTATTTCAAACTACCAATGAGATCATGGTTTCAGAGTTCTTTTATTTCTCTAGGCCTACCGAAACCAGCGATCGTTTCTCACAAGAAAACACTCTTCGCCTTGACCGCATTCTCTGTGTTTGACTTCAATGAGAATGACGTGCTGTACGAGGTGCTGCCCCTGTATCACTCGGCGGGCCTCAACCTCGGCGTGCTCTCCGTCCTGAACGCGGGTAGGTGCATGGACCTCTCCCCGGAGGATGACCTCTCACGCCACTGTTTAGGCTTGCGGTTATGTTGAGTGACAGTGATTTGGGTTTCACTTCCAGCTTTACCATTTAATAATACTACCCACTGTCTAACATTGCAGTAACACTGGAGATCCGGGTGAGGGTGAGTAAGTGAGTTCGGTTTTACGCCGCTTTTAGCAATATTCCAGCAATATCACGGCGGGGGACACCAGAAATTGGCTTCACACGTTGTACCCATGTCGCGAATCGAACCGGGTCTTCGGCGTGACGAACTAACGCTTTAACCACTAGGCTGCCCGACCGCCCCTATCCGGGTTAGAATTGATCTTCAGCAACCCATGCTTGTCGTAAGAGGCGACTAACGGGATCTAGAGGTCAGGGTCCTGACTTGGTTGATGCATGTCATCGTGTCCCAATTTTGTTGATCGATGCTCATTTTGTCAATCACTGGATTGTCTGGTCCAGACTCGATTATTTATGCATCGCCGTCATATAGCTGGAATGTTGTAGAGTGTGGCGTTAAACAACAATCAAGATTCATTCACAAAGGGCTAAAGACATGTAGAGCGTCACTAACTCTTCTGGTCAGTATAATTCACAAAACATAAACAGTTTCAGGACTTCCATAAATGTATTGATGACTCGTCCATTAGAACGATATATTAAAAAACCCTTAATGTTTTATTGTCTATCATTCTTACTATTTCTAATGGCGCGGTGCGGTTGCCAAGTAGTTTAACCGTTCGCTCGTCACGCCGAGGCCCGGGTTCGACTTCCAACAAAATCCAATGTGAGAACCCCATTGTTGGTGTCCCGCGCCTGGATAGAGATATAATAATGCCAAAAGAAGCGTACAAGCATACCTCACTCACTAACCCAAGCAGCAGGCTCCTATTCCATTATGCCACTGGATACTTAGTCTGTCTTACAGACCCTGATACAAATATAATTCAAATACAGCCCATGCAAGTCTATAATGTTCGGCAAGTCTAGATTACTGCAGTATCAGCAGTATCTGAAAATGAAGAGAGTCACTGGGCTCCCTTTTATTATATTTTTGTTAAGATAACTGAACAACTGCTTTTTCTGTACGATATGTTCATTTCAGAGACTAGATGTTAGTCTACTGGATACTGTTCAAACCGGCTCCACGAGTCGGAGCATCTCTGGTTTTCACTTATTCTGCTGCAGGCGCTGTCATGGTATTACGGACCAAGTTTTCCGCCAGCAACTTCTGGTACGACTGTCGTAAACACAACGTCACAGTGGTGCACTACATCGGGGAAATGTGCCGGTACCTCGTCAACAGACCAAAGGTACAGTTAACATGGGATCTTTCACCCTTAAACAATTCACAGCAAACAACACAGTATGTTTGTTGGTTTGTTGTAGCAACGCTAAGCCATATTTCAACTTTATGAGATGCTGTAGGGTAGCTTATAGTATTTTATTTTATATTTTGACACCCGTTTTTTCACAATTAATTCCATTAAACAAACAATCAAGCGACGAAAGTTGGTTACTATCTAATAATCACGGGTGGCCTATTCGCTTTGCAGAGTTGCGTCCCTTGGGCACGCCAGAAACCTATGGTTGTGGGTTCGAACCCCCCGTTTCGCCCCGATTATGTTTCTAGGTTTGTCACCACCATACCCGTGCTCGTGGGTTTCACCGAAGTGGTAAACGTCTGAGACTTGCATCACTCCAGGCTTTCCTCCCACATTAAGATGACACTACGCGATATAACTGAAATACTATTAAAAGCGGTGTTAAGCCCAACTCACTCACTCACTAACTACAAGGCAGAAATTACAAGGTAAGAGTGAAGAAAAAATTTGTATTCGGACATGAACTATTACAAAACTGACATTTCTAGTGAGGTCAATGGTTATTATTAGATAAAAACAAATTTCGTCGTATGAATGTGTGTTTAATGGAAAATAATTGTGAAAAACGGATGCAAAAATGATAATTGACGGACTATAACAGTTGAAGCGTTCGCCCGTCGCGCCGAAGATCCGAGTAAAGCCCATTAATGGCGTCCCGCCGTGATATTACTGGAATATTGCTAAAAGCGGCGTAAAACAATACTTACTCACTCACTCACTCCAACTTTATGACTGATTCTTGATAATTGATTCTGGACCAAACAAACCAGTGATTGATATAGCAACGCCCCACACCGCCGGGATATGGTGACACACTATCAATCAAGTCACCCAACCTGTCCATTTCGTTGCTACGTACGACGAGCATAGGTTTCTGGGGGGCTTTTTCTAACCCGGACTACCCACAACATAGCAGTAAAAGTATATGTCAAGAGGCGCGTTGGCGGACAAATTCGTTTTTTGGGGGTATAACATTATTTCAAAAACTAAATAATTTTTACATTTTACTGTCTATTGATAGATAGTAACATATTAACCGACTGCATGTCAGTAAGCATATGATGGGGTATGTGTCAGGAGAAGAAAATGGTGGACCTTAAAATTATTCTGTATTTTGCATAGACCCAGGAAGATGGGATTCACACTATCCGGACAGCTGTAGGCAACGGGCTGCGAAAAGACATCTGGGAAGAGTTCGCGACAAGGTTCAGGATACCGCAGGTTCTGGAGTTCTATGCAGCGACAGAATCACCAGTAGGCTTCACCAACATCTTCAACAAAGTTGGCAGCGTTGGAAGAGCCTCGCCACTGACGGTAAGAATAGGTGAGGTGAGGTGAAATGGGTTTTAACGTCGCGTTCAAGATTATTTGGGTTTACGTCGCATAAGATTATTGCACTTACATAGCGATGTGCATGCACGTGTGTGTGTGTGTGTGTGTATGTATGTGTGTGGGTGTTTGTGTGTGTTTGTTTGTGTGTGTGTGTGTGTGTGTGTTTGTGTGTGTGTGTGTGTGTGTGTGTGTGTGTGTGTGTGTGTGTGTGTGTGTGTCTGCTTGTAGTAGATACCATCTCGCAGTATAACATGAATACCCCACTCAGAAACAGGACACCGTCCAGTCCTTGTTATATGCCCTTTATGCCGAGCGCCAGGCAGGGTATCAAGTACCATATTTTAACGTCTTTTGATATGACGCGGCCGTAAATCTAACCTCCGAAAAAGTTCTATTCAAGTTTCAATGTAAGGTGAGTGAGTTCGGTTTAACGCCGCTTTTAACAGTATTCCAGTTATATCGCGTCGTGTCATCTTAATGCGGGAGGAAAGCCCGAAGTGATGCAGGTCTCAGACGTTTACCACTTCGGTGAAACCCACGAGCACGACTATGGTGCTGACAAACCTAGAAACATAATCGGGGCGAAACGGGATTCGAAGCCACAATCAAAGGTTTCTGGCGTACCCAAGGGACGAAACTCTGCAAAGCGAATCACTGCGCCTTAGACGACTGGGCCACCCGTGCCCCTTCAATGTAAGGAATCAAGATTTGATCAGCATCACAATTGTTGACGGCGACGGCAAGACATATTGGGTATCGAACCCTGGTTCGCTTGAGCTAAATTTTCACCAAGTATATGTGTTCATTTTACAGAGCTTGCTTTTCCCGGCTGTTTTCGTTGAGTTTGATGAGGCTACGCAGACCGCAAGGAGGGACGCAGGTGGACGTTGTATCAGGGTGGGGAAAGGCAAGAAAAACACATTCATAATATGCGCAAAGAATACAAAACTGCTTGACAGAATTTGATGTGTTTTGATGGGGTTTCACATGCAGTCCTATTTGTGAGTTGTTGTTACTTCAGTTTGTTATTTGTTAGCTTCTAGAAATTACTACATACGTTTGCCTATTGCGTACGGCATGTGCAATAAAAATGCATGTATTATGATGGCATTAATTTGTAGGAAGGGGTCAACACATAAGGGTCTCCCCGACTGAATATTCACAAATATAGTTTTCTTTTTGACATACGTATAAAATATTTTAGACTCACGTTTGTTTTTAATTTCAGATCGCGTAGGGCTCCTGATTTCGCCTCTAGATAAAATCAGGACATTTGAGGGCTACCATAATCGCCCCGTAGACAACGAGAAGAAGCTGCTCCGTGACGTCTTCAAGTCTGGTGACGTCTACTTCAACACGGGCGACCTCTTCTACGTGGACAACGAATACTTTGTTTACTTCCAGGACCGCACTGGAGATACGTATAGGTCAGTAGTAACTCTACAGTAGGTTCCAGACAGTGCGCTGGTTAAGTTGAACACCACTTTGAACAGTATTCAGTTTTATTATATTATAATGCGAACATTTCGCCATATTCATTGGCCTAGAAGCGGCCCCTTGTCTTTCGACAGTAACGCATATAGCCAGCACGTCTGGTCTTCCAATTTACAGATTGACTTGAGTTACTAAAAACAGAATGTGAACTACCCGGAAGAGGTATTCCCCAAACCTAAGCCAATTAGATGTCTGTTTGTTGGAACTTCCTAACGTTATTGTAGCTCACATAGATTCCAAGAGTAAGTCGGTTTTACTCTCCTTGTTATATAATAAAACCTGTAACAAATGTCTGAGGTTTTATGGTCCGAAAAAAGGAAAATTGACCTCGGACTAGTACTTCGTCCACAGTACCGAACTAAGATAAATTGTATAATTGTATGATATCATGGAGTGACAGCGTGACGTGGAAGGGAAACCCGAAGTGACGCATGTTATAGACGTTTACCGTTTTAGTGAAACATACGAGCACGGGTATGGTGACGGCAAAACAAGAATTATGGCTGGTTTGAAGTGCAAAACCTTTTTTACCTCCTTTCTTTAAATTTCCTCAGGAAATGACATCCCAATATATAACTGCATCGTGCACGGAACAATCAGGGGTTACTAGCTACCAGTGTTTCCCACAGCTCTGTGGGCAGTAGGTCCTCGCCGCTTGTAATAGAATCACGAAACATCGCGATGGTAGTTAACGAAGATAGCTGCCTGTATGTTAATACCTATGACGTGATACAAAATTTTAAAGTATGCTTTTCAAGAAATAGCTATTTTGCTTGCGATGAACATCATCATTGAGTTTTGATCACGTGTTTACTCTCCGGGTAATCTTCGGCAGGTTAGGTGACAATATTTAGGTTATATCAGTAACGTGTGCAGCTTTCCTACATTACTAGCACGAACAGAAAGAAACAAACGGGCTGGTGTATTTAAGCGCTTTTGGCCAAGTTTACTGCTAAATATAACCTCTCGCGATCACTTGACTGTCGATTCTTGCCCGGATTATAACCACGTGATCAGAACTCAATGATATTTATCGCTAGCAAAGTGGATATTTCTTGAAATGCGCACTTTGCAGTTTTTGTCATTAAAGTAATTAATACTCCTTTTCGGCGGAATGTCTTGTTTCCACTTCTAAATATTAGCTCACATGGAGTTATCTTTGTTAAATTAATCATCGCGATATTTCGTGATTCTATTTCAAGTGGCGAGGACTATGGGAAGTTGACCTATCCCCAAGTTGAATCCCATAGGTATATATAGCGAAGCGTTAAAAAAAAAACCCAGCTCACTTTTAGCTCACTGGATTCGCTCGTCACGCCGAAGACCCGGGCTCGATTCCCGACATGGGTACAATGTGTGAAGCCCATCTCTGGTGTCCCCCGCCGTGATATTTCTGGAATATTGCTAAAAGCGGCGTAAAACCATACTCACTCACTCACTGGTACCGAAGCTTTTAAAATTCCTGTTCTGGAAATGTTCACACAACTCTGGATTTGTGAACAGCGGGGATGAGGTTTGGAAACACCGATGTTACGGTTTGCTTATGGGCCCCTGACCTAAATTTGCGAATATTCATGAACTTTCTGGTGAGCTACAGAGTCTGTTTGTATGGTTTGTTCAGTAATGATAGAATCGGCTCACCATCCTATAGTGTTCTGATACAAAGTCCACATGTTGTACAGGTGGAAGGGGGAGAATGTGTCGACTAATGAAGTATCCAATGTGCTGTCCACCGTCGACTTCGTCCACGATGCCAACGTTTACGGCGTCACTGTTCCAGGTACGACCTTACAAGTTCACCAATATGTTTGGTGTGTCTGTTTGGGTTTTTTTTGTTTTTTTTATGAAACATATTTTATTGTCCAAAAAGACAAAGGGATTGGCCACAAGTGCACCACGTAATACCGCCTTCTCCCTTGCTGTTTAACGCCACACTAAGCAATATTTCAACCATACGACGGTGATCTGTACATAATCTAGTAGGGACCGGACAATCCAGTGATTGGCATTATGAACATCGATCTTCGCATCAACTAAGTCAGACAGCCTTACCGCTCGATCCCGTTAGTCGCCTCTTTTGACAAGCATGGGTTTACCACACATCCGAATCTTCACGGGGACCAGTATCCACTAGGCTCACTGTTGGTATCGTTAACTGGAACTCCTTTAACTCAATATATTAAAAGTTGAAGTAATGATGAGTGATTATTGATGCATAAGAAATCTTGCAGCCATTGGCGGTGAATGATGGACCTTTGGCGATAATATGGCCTAATGTCGAAAACCCTCTCGCCTACAGACAACTCGATCTTTATAAAATGTTTCCATTGACTTCGAGTTATAGGGTATCACTGTTGTCTTCGACTGTTCATCTCCAGGTTGTGAAGGCAGGGCAGGAATGGCTGCTATTCATCTGAAGGAGGACGTTCAACTTGACTCTAAAGGCCTGAAAGATATCAGTAGGCATTGTGCCCAAGAACTTCCGTCCTATGCACGACCCAAATTCTTACGCGTTCAACGACAGATGAGTCTGACAAGCACCTTCAAGCAGCAGAAAGTTGACCTTATTAATGAAGCATTTAACCCTACGAAGGTTGACGAGCCTCTCTACTATTTTGACAGTAAGAAGAATGCGTTTGAACCAATCAGTGAAGACATATACGAGGACATTGCAAATGGTCGGGTAGCTTTGTGAAAAGGCTTCGAGTAGTTACTTGGTAAAGTGAGGGGTAGGTTGGTGAGCTATGAACCCCCAGGCCTTACTGTAACCCGTCCTGTCTCACAACATAAGCAGTGTTGTCGGTCAGTTACACCGGAGAGATTATCTCCGACCATGCCAGGTGAATGGTTCAACATACACCACCTATATGAAGGCAACTATTCTCATACGTGAGATCCGTGTAAAAGACCTTGAGCGTTCACATCCAGCGGTATTGTAGCAAAATGTCCGCGTCATTTTGGTCTGATCAAGGGCGACAACAGGATGAAAGTACATTCAGAAATATCCTCGCATCTTCGCAAAAATAACCTTCCATAGTTGCAGTAACGATGTCTAATACCCCGTTCACATGCACAACATTTACTAACATAAGTAATTTTGCACATGTGTAACTATATACACATGTGTATATGTAAATGTACTATGCATTCACGTGAAACTTAACTTAAAGGGGAAGTGTACACGCAAAAATCACTTTCTTTCTTTTTCTAAACAAAACGCAATTTTAGAATTAATTAGTATCTGTGTTTGAAAATATACACTCATTTTTTTCACAGTGAAAGTAGGAAGCTCACAATAGTGTGAAAATGATATGCCGTCATGAGGCCTTCGTTTTTCGAGCTAAACAGGCCTGAGTTATCCCCCTTAGATTATGACGTAATTGGTGCCAATTCAACTGGGTCCCTGTCTATTCTCAACGCAAAATATATCAAGGACCAGTTTGCGGTTAAACAACATGGTCTACGACACACTCCGGCGCAGTGGTGACTCAGCATAACACAATTCTGGCTGGCATCTGAGACGCTAGAATCACAAAACTGTACCTACACCACGTGAAGCGGCTCTAACAAAGCATGATGACGTCATAATGTTTATCAATTGGCACCAATGACGTCATATTGCAAGGGGCATAAGCCATGGTGTTTTTGTTGTGGAAATAGAACACTTGGTAAATGTGAAAAATATAAATCGTTTTAATGCGAAAAATATGTTAATTAATTGTGATATTTTTATATTTTTGTCTATGACACTTCTAGGTTAACACTTTTAATGTGGAAAAAGTACAAGAAAAATAGGTTCATTTCCGTGTGAACTTGCCCTTTAAGTGTGTAAATAAGGTACGTAAATGGCGTAAGGCACACATCCCTCTGTTCACGACTTTCAACATGAAAAGGTTGTTTTCGAATCATTAGAAGAGAGTTACCTACAGAAATCTTCGCATGAAGCAAAATGTGTTTGATTTAATATGTACAACAATTTTTGACTCCTTGATACCCCAAAAAATACACCGTCCACCCAGCTCTGGATGTCAGCATTAAAGTTGGTATTGCTGTAGTCTGAATAGTGTCATTTTGAGAACTGTTTACAATTTGTTTGGTGTTGGCAAAACAACAGATATATCGTAATTAGATCATCCTCTGACGTAGGCATAAACATTCACATTACAACATATACGACATACAGTCAAATTTACATTTACATTTGCACCTGCTCAAGACATGATGTAAGTTTGCTCCTGGTGCTAATATACATACGTGAGTAATAACAAGTATACTCACGTATGTATATTAACACACGTGTGCAAATATACACCCGTGTTTAGAGGTGCACGTGAAAGGGGTATTAGATAATAATGCCTGCTTGATATTTGGTAATATTCTGCACAAAAATAACAAAATGGTTGAAAGTGCTTGGGTTGTTTCGAAATATATGACTATGTGATGCATTTGATATATAGATATTGCACGTGCCGCTTTATGGTTATTTTCGTATTCATAATCGTGGTGAACAAGGGTATGTTATTCTAATTGTTCAACTTCAGAGTTTATATTTTATCACGCTTTTATTTGCAGAATCTGAAACCAATAAAATATATTTTTTACTAATATGAATGTGTACATGTTTATTCGTCGTTTTCGCTGTGCAGAGGTGCGTCCCTTGGTCACGCCAGAAACCTATGATTGTGGGTTCGAATCCCGGTTCGCCCCTATTATGTTTCTAGGTTTGTCAGAACCATACCCGTGCTCGTGGGTTTCACCGAAGTGGTAAAGGTCTAAGACGTGCATCACTTCGGGTTTTCCTCCTACATTAAGCTGACACGCCGTGATATAACTGTAATACTGTTAAAAGTGGCGTTAAACACAACTCACTCACTCACTCACTCACTTATTCGTTATTATGATCCTGATATTCAAGGTCCCGTAGAGTCAAAGGAAAGGATGCCGATTGTGTACACAGGCGAAGGAACAGCTTGGCCTGGCGTATGCGAAGGAAAGGATGTTCCGATATATTCACAGGCGAAAAGCGCGATGTGTGGTTTTGTAGTTTCTTGGGAGAGTGTGATCTGGTTTGTTTGTTTGTTATATAACGTCGTACTCCGCAATAATCCAGTCTGGGCCAGATAATTCAGGGATTGACATCATGAGCATCGATCTACCCATTTGGGATATGGCACACCATCAACAAAGTCAACGAGTCTGACCACCGATCCATTTCGTCGCCTCTTACGACCGGCATAGGTTGTTGGGGACGTATCATTTTTAACCTGGAATTCCCACGGACACTCGTAGGCCAACAAGGCGAACATAAATGAACATTAAGTATAAACGACATTTTTTACTGACGGTAGAAAGCCTTGTTACTTATACTTGCAGACAGTTAAATCAAGGTCGTTATGAATATTTCTTTCATTTGATGATTTATTTCAGATAAAACCTTCGTGTTGTTTGAGACAATTAGACAAACATTAATATATCATTATTTACATTTGATTTGCAAACGGTCTTACAAAAGTGCATGTTTGGTCTTTGAGATTAAAAATAAATATTGTGCTCATTTTAAAAAAACCAACTAAATTATTGCCAGGCGTTATATATATGTAGGTATTGTTGATGTATTGCTAATGCTGAACACAATTGTTTCCCTTGGTCGATGGGCATGTTTAAAAGTTGTCAAACCGGTCGATGCCTAAACAAACTTTACCGACGCGGTAACACGCTGTACACATGACGAACTTACACTGAAATCAATACACGTGGCGTCCCCAGCTTGCAATAGGTGCGTGGTTAGTTCACCTGTGACACAGCTTCATCAACAGCTTCCTTGGTGGGCATTGATTCATGTTATACCAAACGTACATCGGTGACCGAGACAGGTTACATAAATCTCCCATTACAAAATACCACACTTCAAACTTGCATAACTCATATTACGTTTGAACCCGTGAAGACCCGGGTCAGAATAAGTCTTCAGCAACCCATGCTTGCCGTAAGAGGCGACTAACGGGATCGGATGGTCAGGCTAGCTGACTTGGTTGGTGCATGTAATCGTATCCCAATTGCGTGGATCGATGCTGATGATGTCAATCGCTGGATTGTCTGGTCCAGACCCGATTATTTACAGACCGCCGTCATATACCTGGAATATTGCTGAGTGCGGCGTTAAACAACAAACAAACAAACAACATTACGTTTGAAGACCGCCTCCGTGGTCTTGTGGATAAAGCGTCAACCAGGAGGGCGGAAGATCGGTTGTTCGATGCCTGGCTGCATCACGACTAAATTAAGACATACAAATGATGTACTTGTTGTTTCCCTTCCTGGCGCTCGCCTTTAGGGGGATAAAACATGGACCGGTCGTCTCGGAGTCAGTACAGCATCCATGTTCAGCTGCATGGTATCACAGGGGGTTAGCACTATAAAACCGGCATTGGTCTGGGTGCCGTTGTACAAAACAACCCTAGCGCTACGACTGTGTAAGTCTATGTTAAGGTATAGGAATTACGATCCCCTTAGGGTTAAGATAACTTTGCACAACGGCACCCTGGACTACTACAAGCAGCCCACACGCTATACAAGTGCAAATATCTTGAAGCTACACTAAACCCCATTTCACCTCACACGTTTGAACAGACTGACGTATGGAGTTCTGGGCAGGATAGGTCCCAGGTAACCAATGCTTGTTCAGCCGAGCAGTGCTTCTTCACTGTGACACGACGGCGTGGATTTTGGTCATGATGTTAACCACTAGTTTGCCTGGCTCTGATGATGTACAGGCTACCATGACACAGCTGAGACAATGCTGCCTGCTGCGTCAATTGACAGGTGGAGCAAACAGTGTCTTTGGCATTATAACGGCATCAGATTCCGAGAGTGAGTGAGTGAGATGACGGCGTGTCAGCTTAATGTGGGAGGAAAGCCCGAAGTGATGCAGGTCTCAGACGTTTACCACTTCGGTGAAACCCACGAGCACGGGTATGGTGCTGACAAACCTAACGAACCGGGATAGCGAACCCACAATCATAGGTTTCCGGCGTACCAAAAGGGACGCAACTCTACACAGCGAATCGCGGCGCCTCTGACGACTGGGCCAGCCGTGCTTCTACGAGAGCGTTGTCACTTTTCGATATGCAGTGAAGTTGATCAAACGGTATCTGTGTCAAATAATGTATGTGGACCTTGTATTATGTAGTAGAAAGGGTCAGAACCCGAGTACACAGATACAGAAGCTGGCAGTGATATATATATACCTTTGAGATGTGCTCAAGTAGCCATAACGTATAAAAAAACATAACGTATAACACTGGGCTTTTTTTTTTAATTTATAAATTTCTCGGAACCATTTGTCAAACGATTTTTGAATGACTTCGTAGAGTGCTGTGTATGCTGACAAGAAACTAAATCACTACTAAGGGTCCGGACAAGACAAAGCAGTGGTACATTGTCGGGTGGCTATAGAACGACGCGCACCATCAGTCACCCAGTGCTCGGCTCTCACCACAAGCATGAGATTTAGGGACACATTCAGCCCCGGAAACCCATGGGGTCTTGTTAAATTGAGAATAAAGCATCTTATCTAAATGCTGCAAGCCGATACACTTGGACGTTACCGTGGTAAACCAGTTTTGACAAACAAGTTCCGGATCTACAGTTACCATAGTATAACATTCACGCTGTGTTTGTAGCAGTCAATAGAATCCCTGTTAACTGAATACCAAACATACTTTGTAATTATGACTTCAGCTGAGGCTGAGTAAGGGATTGGTGTGACTGTCCTAGTGTCCTAGTTCGCTCATGAAAACTCTGTTGGCGACACTTCAGTCATGTCTCCTTAGACAGTGATCTTCCCAACAAAGATGTCTGCATACACTGCCCGTGTGAGGACCCTGTACTGGTTTGAGACCTTGTCAAAGTAATACAGCGGTTCGTCTGTGATGGATGGATCAAATCCGTCATTCACTAGCCGAACCTTCTGGTGCTTGAAGGTGCTAGTCAGGTTCACTTCTCGCTGAAGGCGTATGAATTTGGGACGTGCATAAGCAGGAAGTTGTTCCGCGCAATGTGCACTAATTTCTTGAAGTTTCTTGGAATCAATAGAAGTATTGTCTTTCAGACGAACAGCAGCCATTCCGGCTCTTCCTTCGCAACCTGGTAAAGGAAACAGAGACTGACGAATTTGTAACCTACGCAAAACATTATTTATTAACATAGTAATAAAATTTTAAAAATCGATCATAAACGTCATCTCAAACTATAAAAAATTATTATTTATAAAATATATTTACAACATTCACCAATTGCCATGAGATACAAACCAGGAATATGTCGTTTAAAAGTTCCAACATCATTACCGTTTACCCACATAGATCATGACATTCTGTAAGTGCTATTAATTGTGTTACATCTGCTTCAGACAGGTTCCTGCACATATGCTGCTGAATGAGAAGTTAATCCCAAGGCCGACATTAGAGGAGCATAAACACACGAACCTGGGACAGTGACGCCATACACGTTGGCGTCATGGATGAAGTCGACGGCGGACAGCACAGTGGCTACTTCATGCGTGGACACATTTTCTCCCTTCCATCTAAGTCAAACATGAGACACAGATATATAGAGCATATCTCCCTTACCCCCGTCACGAGATGAGAGAAACATGAAATATCCTATTTATGATATACTTTTTGTGTAGTTTTCTCCCGGAAAATTAAATTCTTTCATTACAAATGTAAAACCTTGCCACATAGGGAAGGTTCACTACTCCTTGTATTTTGCGACTAAAAATGTATTTGCGTGTTTGCAAAATTAAAAAAAATGTAAACAAAAGTTTCAAAATATATTTGGGGTCACGAAAATTCTTTGTCATACATTTCGATATGATTGTATACAAAATCAACTTTAACAAAAAATATTCTCGAAAACCAGGAGACCGCTGTTGGAAGCGAAAGAATACACGCTGGTCAAGTAACAAAAATGGCGTTTTGCAAAACGAACAGTCTTGATTGACGAGTTAATGGTCACTACTGGTGTCTACGGATCTGTACTACATTTCCGATTGACTTATTTAATCACTTACCTCCAAATACATCTACGTATACTTTTTTTTTTTGGGGGGGGGGGGGGCGGCGATATGAACATTGAATGAGAATTCCTAATAAAAACAACATAGCGGCCCAAACGAAAACACTCACTGGCTTTTGTTTTCAAAATGTAGTGACATAGAGAAAAACTGACATTAAAGAGATGAAGGGTTACGGTAACCCCAGTACGGTTACTGGACACAAAGTGTGTGAGTCAGTCTCAATCAGGTTTCGACCCGTGAGTGAGTGAGTATGGTTTTACGCCGCTTTTAGCAATATTCCAGCAATATCACGGCGGGGGACACCAGAAATGGGCTTCACACATTGTACCCATGTCGGGAATCGAACCCGGGTCTTCGGCGTTACTACCCGACCGCCCTTCGACCCGTGAAGATTCCGGGGTAGAAAAGGTCTTCAGCAACCCATGCTTGCCGTAAGAGGCGACTAACAGGATCGGGTGATCAGCTGGAATATGGCTGGAATATTGCTGAGTGCGGCGTAAAACAACAAACCAACCAACCAGCTTAATCAGGTTTCAATATTTTAGACCAAAAGGTTTATTTCAAAACACTCATGCCCACTTTCTGCAAGATTATTAAGTGCCTGAATAATTATAAAGGGGTTTAGGGTGGACATGCCTATGCCCTTGGTTCCAGTCGGTCAAATGGCTCAACGGCTTCTCTTGGTACACTCGTATATCTCGCTCGAACTGGTAAAATGTTACAGTAGCATAAGTAGCAATTACCTGTATGTATCTCCCGTGCGGTCTCGAAAGGAAACAAAATATTCGTTGTCTACGTAGAAAAGGTCGCCCGAGTTGAAGTAGACGTCGCCAGACTTAAAGACGTCATAGAGAAGTTTCTTCTCATTCTCAGCCGGGCGGTCAAAATAGCCCTCGAATGTCCTCTGTTTGTTTACCGGAGAGATGAGAAGGCCCACACTGTCTGAAAGCAGTAATAGAATGTCGTTTACCGCCGTCAGCTATTCCAACTATATAACGATCGCATGTTAATAACCGAGTCTCGACAGGTCAAACCAGTGGCAGAAAGCATGAGCAGCTATCCACGATGACGCAATCAGCCACAAAGCCTGACCGCCTTTCCATTTTAGTCGACTATGACAATCATTGGTTATGCTGGAGACCAAATGCACATATGTGCATTATACATATAAATCTACACAATTATGTTAACATCAAGCACTTGGTGTTAAAACTTGCCAATTATTAATTTATATTAGAATACATACCGGTTAATTGACATCAATCATCCATCGCTGATATCACAAATTCGAATAAATGATATCATAAAATAAAATTATTGATATCATAAGTAATTATTGATATCACAAATTCGAAAATAAGATATCATAAAATGAATTTGTGTTATCTAAAAATGTATCACCGAAAATACATCGGATTGATTCATATCTCAAGATTGAATTTGTGATATCAATTAATACATTTAATATCTCAAAATTGAATTGTGATGTCAATAAATGAATTATTGACATAAAAAATAGGAATAATTAGTAAAACGGCGCCTCATAGAAATCCAAGTATTACAGAATGCTTAATGTCTCAGGCAAGCAGTGCTGCAGTAATGTTCTTGTACTCAGATTATGAAGCTTTGACGTGATGAAGAAACTGATTACAGCCCAACGATGTTCACCTTTCCCTATCTGTACGCATCTCCCTTGAGCATCTCTCTTGGCAGTTTCAGTCACGTGATCAAACTGGACAAATATGGCCGGTGCAAGCAGCCTCTGAATTTAAAGACCATATAAGGAGCACACGTTAAAGATAGTAGATAATAATTATATCTTACACTGAAGGAAGGGAAACAAGTGGAAACAAATAATGAAAGTGTGGACCAACAGGTCAATAATAACATAATATAAACCACGCAGCTGAATATACTTGGTAGTAATCAGTTATGGCTAGTGTACGTTTGATACAGTTTACAGATATCTGTGTACGCCGAGGGTCATAATCGGGTCCATAAGTTTAACATAGTTCATGCAAAACCCAAGGTAACTGCAGAAAATCTGCGATCTCAAGTCTCAGTACTGATAGTCAGCCTCATTACAATCCGATATGTTACTCCGATATGGTCCCTCTCTACGTGCAGATCTGAGCACATATCCAAGCAGCGAGGTATATCGTGTCGGAGTAAAAGATCGGATTGTCATGAGACTGGGGTAATAGTAGACAGTAGGGTGAACATGTACGGGGAGGTCATAGAGACATGAACCAGTCTGTTACAGGTATATAATTGTTATAGACAATGGCCTATCGATATGGTGTAATTTGAGAAGAACCAACGAGCAGCTTCGAGAACTAAGGATAGTTGTCCCGAGTGAATGAATGACTGAGCCAGGTTATTCTTTATAATTACCCACGGACGGTCTAAGAACTAAAATCAAGGACGTCAGATATCTCAACCCTACAGATAAAATTCACTGAAGGCGCCTAAACATCAAAGCACTGTGATGTAATATCGCTTCAACTGACCAATCAGCACTGAAAATCGCTATAATACACAAGATATTACACACGTCGGTCTACCCCACAGGAACTCCATGATAGCAAGTATAGCATAATATATTCGTAGAGAAAAAAAATCCAACACCTCTATACATATAGACCATATGTATAGAGGGATGGGATTTGTTTTTTCTCAACGAATATATTATGCTATACACGCTATCAATATGTATAGAGGGTGGGATTTTTCTCTCTCTGCGAATATATTATGCTATACACGCTATCATCGAGTTCCTGTGGCCTACCCTTATGGGTAATATGAATAAAAAGCGCCCATGTAGGTTGTTGTTCGTAGGTTCAGGCAAACTTGAATACCGCGTGTTTCAGGAATGTACAGTACACAATGGACATGTTTAATGACAGAGGTGGTGAAAGAAACATGTCAGTTATGTTGTTAGAAATGAGTTAATAGGTCAGCTGTTGAGATGAGTTAATGGGTGAGTTGTTGAAATGAGGTAATAGTTCAGTTGTTTCAGAGGTATGTCGTAGTTTGGGTGTACGACGGTTTCCTATAGCAGTAGCCAAGGGCATGTGTTAACGTATGGGTACAGTAAAACCATACCGAAGCAAGAAACAATGATGTGTTTTAAATGATTATAACCAGTGAGGTGTATAGACTATAAAGTCTCCCTGTCTTAAATTTATATATTTATTTAATTGTGTTTGTTTATTTTTATTTTATTTTTTAATTAATTAATTAATTAATTAATTAATTAATTAATTAATTAATTAATTAATTAATTAATTAATTAATTAATTAATTAATTTATTTATTTATTTTATTTTATATTTTTTTTGAGGGGGGAGCAAGAGCAAGTCTGTTCAGTTGTAATCCCTATTATTAAAATTAATTTCATTCTGGCTCGTATGCGTGTCTGCGTGTGTACGTACGTGCGCCCGTGCGTGCGTGCGTGCGTGGATGCCGGTTGTATAGCGCTGGCTCACCATGCCGCAATGTAACATAAATACCCTACTCAGACACGTACATGTATACAAACTCCGAGCCAAATAGTCCTTGTTTTGTCCCCTTATTGAGATTTAACTTATTCAATGTTCACATTTATGTTACTTGCCTCGGTATGGCTTCCTGGTATCCATACAGACCTGGAGAAAGATTCTACAAGTAGCTATAGAACTCACCGTCAGCGGAGAAGACCTCCCAACCATTCCCACCTTGTTGAATATATTTGCAAATCCTATAATTGACTCAGTTGCAGAGTAAAACTCCACCACCCGCGGGATCTGGAACCTCGTTGTGAAATTTTCCCAGATGCCCTTTCGAAGACCGTTTCCTACTGCCACCCGGATGTTGTGATGTACTTCTTCTGGGACCTGAGAAAAAATTGGCTAGATTTCGAATCGCTTAGACGGGTTTCTTTCGCGTTCGTACTCGTATCATCATCATTCAAACACGTGTGTTTCGTAAACATATTCATGATATCTTTGATGATTCTCGCTGATGAATATACAAAACACGGGTGCATTTTGTACGTCCACTCTCTGGAAGCCTGTGCATCAAGCTATTGTTTGTCTGGTTGTTGTTTCACGTCGCCCTCCGCAATATTCCAGCTAAATGACGGCGGTCTGTAAATAATCGAGTATGGGCCAGACAATCCAGTGATTCACATTGGGATACGATGACATACATCAACCAAGTCAGCGAGTCTGACCCCCCGATCCCGTTCGTCGCCTGTTACGACAAGCACAGTCACTTTTTACGTCAAGCATGGGTGGCTGAAGACCTTCTCTGACCCGGAATCTTCACGGGACACGTCAAGCTATTAAGTGGTATGTAGTCACATCATTAAAATAAGTCCACTCAGCACATCTTTCATGAAGGTCTGTCACAAGTATGTATCTCAGGTGATAACATGTTTCTTATTGTTTCGTTTAACAGCGAACTCAGCAATATTCCAGCTATTTGATGGCTGTGTGTAAAGAATGGAGCCTGAACCAGTATATCCAATGATTGATGTTGTGAGCAACGATCCAGGCAATAAGGACAGAAGATATGCCATCAACCAAGTAAACGAGCCTGGCCATCCGGTCCACTTTCAGTCTCCTGTTACGACAATAATAAGGTGCTGTGGGCCAGATTTCTTACCCGGAATCACAAAGGGTGGTAAGAGGTTTCATCAATAAATCATCTTGTATCCCAATTGCTGTCTTTTACATATTTATTACAAAAGTATATAGCTGTAACTTAATATAGCTGCCACAATTTGTAATGCGTCCCTCAACCTAATGAAAATGGGTTTGAATTCCACATTCGCTCTGTTAGTCCTTGGTTTGTCAGCCCTACCCCCGTGCTCGTAAGTTTCACTATTGTGGTAAACATTTGCATCGGGAAAGGCTTGCATCACTTTCCTCTCACTTCAAGTCTATAACTATGATTGTGGGTTCGAATCCCGGTTCGCCCCGTTTATGTTTCTAGGTTTGTCAGTACCATACCCGTGCTCGTGGGTTTCACCGAAGTGGTAAACGTCTGAGACCTGCATCACTTCGGGCTTTCCTCCCACATTAAGCTGACACGCCGTGATATAACTGGAATACTGTTAAAAGCGGCGTTAAACCCAACTCACTCGCTCACTCAAGTCTATAAGCCGTGATATAACTAAGATGTTGAGTTAAACTCACTTACTAATTTACCAGTTCTTTTAGTAAGCACCATTTTGAAAACGTAAATCATCGATGTGTTTTAAGATATGTTTCCAGTTTTAAAAATTCCTGACCATGCTTCTTTTATGAAAAAATATATCAAGATTTTCTGTATTATTCTATAATTTTTCCATTTCACTGAATACGTATATACTGTTTTAATCATGTTTCATTAGCCATATTTCATTGCGTCTCCATTCCTCTTTGCCCTTCGATCGATCCTTACCTTTGGTCTGTTGACGAGGTACCGGCACATTTCCCCGATGTAGTGCACCACGGTGACGTTGTGTTTACGACAGTCGTACCAGAAGTTCCTTGCGGAGTATTTGGTCCGCAATACCATGACAGCACCTGTATGTATACATAGATAATGTCTTCAGTTACTACACAATAACAACAACGGGAGGTAGGGTAGCCCGGAATATTAGCTACAGCGTCCGCTTGTCACGCTGAATTCGAAGACCCGGGTTCGAATCCTCACCAAAGATGTGTGAAAAGCAATTCTGATGTCCCTTGTTTTGATTTTGCTGGAAAAGTACTGAAGCGGTGTAAACAAATATTCCCTCACTCACGCTTTGACAATTACAGCCAAAGAACAGATGTCCAACAGATCAAACTCTATTAATCCTGCACTAAATACATTTTGTCTGTCTATATTCAAGTTGTGGGTGTATCGATGTGACAGATGCAAAGTAGATGGACGCAGGGTTATATGCAGTGTTCAGACATGTGAAGGTAAATACCATTAACACTGAGGTGATCTTACTCTCCGTTCAGTTACCTACCTACCACCAGCCCACGTATACCGACGTGTAAAAATAGATACACCACAACCTATTTACTAACTGGCCTGGAATGACATGGCCTACTGGTAACGCTCGTCGCCAGTGAAGGTCAAATTCACCTGTCTATTTAAGCAAAGGGCATCATTCGGGAAACACCCCGGACGATCACTGAAAAGTGGATTGTCTTCGACAACGAAGATGTACGAGCAAATATCAAAAGGTTTTGGGTCCAGCATGCATATATCTGAAATACTGTCGTGCGCTTTAATTATTTTTCAACAAAGTCTCCTTGCAGATTAATACACCTGTTCCTTCTCCGGGTCAGTTATCCCTGTTTGGTAGAAGGTCCCACCCTGATCTGTCAACTAGCCATCCACAGCGGCAACCAGTTCTTGGCCCTCGTTTAATCTCTGACCATGTAAGTGTATTTTCAAATTTGTAAGTAGACAGTAGTCACTATAGCGGCCAGATCTGATGAAAAATGTGGAAGTACCGCAGCCATTGCAACATGGCTGGTGTGAACTGGGGAGTTGCCCGGATGGAGGAGAAATCCACCTTAAAAGTGTTTCCACTCCATGGATTAGTGTTTTCTCTCGGGATTATAATGGTGGTTCTGGGTCTCATCACTTGTCACTCTCCTAGACTGAACATTTTCTGCCTTGCGATTATGTCTGGTTACAGGGGTATTAGAGACGGTTACCCACGTAGCCTTCATTTCATCCGACAGATTTCCGGGAACCCGTCGGGCACAAACCTTTGACATGTCAAAAATGTTCTACTCTAACGCATGGAGTGTAATACACCTGCTGTTCAGGGCCAGGTTGTGGACGGCATCAGTGTTTTCTATTGTGGTGCTGGTGGTTGGTCGACTAGAGCTGAGGCCATCTTACAAACTCCCTCCCATACTCAAATTCCTTCACACAACGTTAATTGTGGCGTATTTTGGGGGAAGCTTCCCATAAACAGCATGTAGCCTATCATAATTATTCTTTGGTGATTGACCATCTTGGATAAAAAGATGTGATGACTGCTCAACGCTCACATTTGTCCATGTGCTAAGGAGTAGGGTACGTCACGAAGTCAATTATCAAGTCACTGGACCAAATTGTGAAACTTAACTCAACTAACAGGTCAATACTTACATATACTATTCAAAACAAGTTAAAGAACACCCCCAACTGGGACGTTGGGAAGGAAATACCCGCCAGCCATGACAGATTAAATATAGTTATATGAAAGAAGCAGGTATTCTTTATTGGTTGGTTTGTTGTTAAACGCCGCACTCAGCAATATTCCAGCTATATGACGGCGGTCTGTAAATAATCGAGTCTGGACCAGACAATCCAGTGATTAATATCATGAGCATCGATCCGCGCAATTGGGATCGATGACATGCATCAACCAAGTCAGCGAGCCTGACCACCCGATCCTGTTAGTCGCCTTTTAGGTATTCTTTAACTTGTTTTGAGTAGTATATGTCACATGTAAGCATAACGACAACCTATACTTTCTGATATCCCCTCGTAGTTTTACCAAGTACTGGGTGGCCACATTCTCAAATTACAAATATGTATTCTTCGGACATTTTAGAGAGAATATTGCTTCAGACATGATAGAGCTGATAACTTCCAGAACGTGCCATATTGAATGGGATGTCTCTCTATCTGCTGTACCGCGATGCAGCATAATTGTCAAGATGTCAGAACACAAACGCATTCTCGTATTTTGATTATTTTAGTCATCTCTGACTGAACGACATTGTCTGTAACCCTTCTATTCGGACGAACTATATCGTGGCACTGACCTGTCTGAACCACAGAGAACACACCGATAGTGAGACCCGCGGAGTGATACAGGGGAAGGGTTTCGTAAAGAATGTCACGTTCATTGAAGTTGAAGGTTGAAAATATAGCAGTGGCAAGGATGGTCCGCTTGTGGGTGACAATGGCGGGTTTCGGTAAACCTGGAAAGAAATAGCGAAACTTGCATTGAAAACTTATAAAGATATCCACGCCGTCATGGCATCTTACTAAAAAAACTGAATTATATGTTGACTGAGGAATTGGAATACACGGTAGCATGCAACATAAATTTACATTCTCGTGTGACGTTCGTCTCTTGCATGGATTTCACGATGTTCTAAAGTAATCTTCAACTCTAAAACTGAAGAATACTTAGGGACAAAACCCTTCCCATGACCACTAGAAATTCCTGCTATTTAAAAGCAGAGTCGATTGTACGATTCCGAATGTACCACGAGCATGTGTTTATGAATCACTATCAAAAAGTGATGATACCAGGTGTTCGAGCGTATCCTGTCCCACCAGTGGCACCTGTTACAAACACATGCAAAGGCAAGTCAATTGTCCACTTGAAAAAACAACACGGGAACGTATGGTACAAGTCATAAATACGGAATTGCATCGGACATCATTTTTGTACTGATGCGCCAGATGTCTTCCATAAAACCTTTTGAAAGCTTAACTGAGATCTTCAGTGTTGTAACCTTCATCAAAAAAACTTCTCAGCAAGAGTCGCATGCCGGTCTTTGAAATCTTGGTAGAAAGAGCATGCTCGATTGTACATCAAAAGCTGTGAAACGTAGACATCAAAGGCTTGAGCTGTTGGACTACTGCTCGACATGAAGCGAAAGGTGTTTATGGGAGAGTTATTGTCCTGAAGCAGTGAGAAACATGTTTCGTTTCCATCAATTATACAATGTTTTGGAAATTGCTCTACCTGTAATGCTAAGCGTAGTAGCAGATATACTAAATTCAGAAAATTCCCTGTACGGCGTCTAAGCAAAATGCCACACACCTGTTGTACCGGAAGTAAAAATGAACGAGGCAATGTCTGAGGCTGTTACGTCCGCTCTGTACTTGTAATCAACAGTGTCTGTCGACTCGCGTTCTGCTATCTCTGTCAGTGAATCCAGGTTGAATCTTGCTGGTGTCGGACCATGTGCTAATACCTGTATGTATTTGATGTCATCCCGTATTGTGTGCACGGCTTCAGTAAGTACGTCATCTACAATAAAAATAACATGAGTTAATGAAACGGCGACTGAAAACAACACTTTTCATCGTTGGAGAGCTACAGTGTCTGCAACATATTTTGTTCGATAAAATCCCAGTACAAACATCCCCTTGCCTCATCTTGTCCGAACAACCACTTAACCCTATCTTGACCAAAATACCCACTTAGCCCCATCTAGTCCAATCGCCATCTTCCCGAGGCAAGGGAGTTGACTGACTATAAAAGTCCAGTTTCCACCAATCCCGAACTAGGCAGGAATTTCGTTGTTAGATCGTTGCGCTACCAATGACAAGGACGAGTTATGTTCCTTCTAGATGTCCCTCATACTGACCAATCAGATTCCACTATCATATTACTTGCACTTGCTTCAAACAAAATAGCGGTGCCCAGTCAAGACGATCTGATCCATACTCAACATTTATATAATATTGTAATAAAACGGGTCTTACCTCGCGAAGTGCAAATTAATTGAATATCGTGATTAAAAACACCCACTTAACCCCATATTGTCCAAATACCCACTTAACCCCATCTTGTACAAACACCCACTTAACCCCATCTTGTCCAAATACCCACTTAACCCATCGTGTACAAACATCCACTTAACGCCATCTTGTATAAACACAGACTTAAACCCGTCTTGTACAAAAACCCACTTAACGCCATCTTGTACAAACACAGTCTTAAAACCGTCTTGTACAAAACCCCACTTAAGCTAATCTTGTACAAACACAAACTTATCGCCATCTTGTACAAACACCCACTTAAACCCGTCTTGTACAGATACTTACTCAGCCCATCTTGTCCGAACATTTCACGTGTGTCACGTGTTATTGTTACGACAAAACACAGCGGCATTGTATCATTCAGTGATATAATTGGTACAGGGTTTTTTCTAAATAGTAAGAGACAAAACATTGTTACAGACGAGAATAATAATGGGTACATCAAAACGCGCGCGGGTTTTATTTGTACTGACCTTGACCTACGATGAGTAACTTCGGCTTGCAGCTGGTGATGGAGTGGGCGAGAGACTTGTGACGGAGGTGGTAGTTGATGAGAGAGACGGACAGGCCGATCTTCTGCAGACCTTAAACAATAGGGGGAAATGTAGGATACAATACTGAGCATTCTGTGTTGTGACAGAAAGTAATGGTGGTAAAAGTAGTAGCATCTGCCCGAGGCAAGAGTGTCCACAAGCCTTTTTATCAAAGTCTTGTAGAAACTAGGCTTTGATATAGGCTAGTGGACACGCTTGCCCCGGGGAGATGAATTATTATTATTATTATTAATAGTAGTAGTAGTAGTAGTAGTGGCAGTAGTCGTAGTAGTAACATGAGTCGTCGTCGTTGTAGTAGTAGAAGTAGTAGTAGTGTCGTCGTCGTAGAAGTGGTAGTGGTAGTAATTTGGGGACCTTCACAAAAACGTGCACTCACAACCAAATGCCAGGTCTAACCTGCATTGCCTTTCTATCGTCGAACACACGTGCATATATTATTTTTTTTAAGTGCAAGTATATAGCAGGAAGTTCAAAAACGCACTTTAAGAACAGGGTTGTTTTTTAACTCCCATTTCCTTGTGTCTAACAACATAGGATTCTGCGATTATAACTAGGTTTCAGCAATTTGTAAATCATGCCTACCGAAATATGTCCAGATGAACGCGGGTTCGTTAGTCATCATGATTGCAGCAACATCTTTAGCCTTGAGTCCCAGTTTGAGGGCAGCCCGAGCTATCTGATTAGCTTTCTGGTCCACGAACTCGTAGGTGTAATTGTTGTCCTGGTAGATGATGAACGTCTGTTTGGGCCGTTCACGCACCTGCCTCTCCAGACAGTCCACGGCGAAGTCGCGCTTGTTGGTTCTCCTCTTTATATTCCGGACTAACCTCAACCCTGTTCTCAGATACTGCAGGTCGTATTTAATCCAGGGGAATGCCCAAACGACAAACAAGCACAAGGTGACGACTGCAGCCGCAGAAGTACCCAATATCGTCAGCAACATGTCGGCGTTGTCACCACTGATGTACGGGAATTTTCGGTCCATTTATCTCAAACCTTTTTATTTTGAAATATGATTCACAGTCCATAGCACGCACTTTCCACGTTCGGAAAAGGGGATGGAAACATCGGTCTTTTCGTCAATACCCAAGTAAAGATATTTCCATCACAGTGAAAATGTTCATTATATTCGATGATGCTGTTTACAGCGTCAAACTAGTTCATAGCACCGCGTCTGATAGAGAATGACTGCTCTCATATGTCAAAACTCGTCCTTGAATATCAGAAACCTAAGTCACCATCCCGAGCTTGCTATTGGATATATATATATATATATTATATATTGTTAATTGGATGCCACATGGCGTGATCTATATTTCATATTAAGAATGACAAAAACACATTTATTCAATCAGCTATATATATTTATTAGTGTATGTGTATATTACTTAACAAATCGCCTGACACATTCATCGTCAAGGCATTACGCTTGAGTCAGTGAGTTTGTTGGGTTTAACGCCGCTTTTGACAGTATCTCATTTATACCACGGCGTGACAGCTTAGGTATACGTGGTAGGAAAGCCCGAAATGATGCAGGTCTCTTTTGGTGCTGACAAACAGAACCATAATCAGGGCGAACCGGGACTCGAACCTTAGATCATATGTTCCTGGTAGGGCTGGGACGGGTAACTCGGGTACCCGGGTCAGGTGGGTACTGAGTAGGACCCGGGTACCCACAGGACTACCCGGACCCGTGGTTAGTCACGTGATATATTGTTTGATGACAAAAATTATCCAGAACTCTATGGTTACACTACAAGTCACTAATGTTCGCATTTCTTTCTGACTATGCACCCATTCCTTCTGATTTTTCATGTGGTTGAATAAAGATATAACTAAATTCGACTTCAGTGTGTGAATGACCAGATTGTTTAATACATGTATCTACATACGTTTTGCCAGGGATATGCTAAAAATGTTCCCATTCGAACATTTTGAGACATCTCCTGAGACCTACAGTGGGTACCCGGTTAGGGTCTTGTAATAGGGGGGTGGGTACCCGGGTAGTAAATTTGGGCTCGTCCCAGCCCTAGTTTCTGGCGTGCCTGAGGGACGCAACTCTGCATTGCGAATTTCGGCACCTAAGGCGATCGGGCCACCCGTGCCTCGGACAACGCTGCGGGACGACTTTGTCCGAAATTTTCCGAGTGTTTAGTCACGTGATATTCTACGCCATTTTCGAAGTCGACGAATGTGAAAGAAATGAAGAGAGATAAGGGCGGTATGACGATACATTTCATGATTATTAGTAATGTCCTTCATGAAGAATGATTTCTTTAACTTCGTCCTTGTCCATTATTTTGTTCTTTCTCATTCGATCTACGATATCGCGACGTTCATGGGAGAGAAGCCAAATTTGAACGTGGTTGTGGATTTTGTAAAGAGTATGCTGGATCTATTCATTTATGTACTGTCATGGTCTTATTATTACGGTAATCCTCTTGTGAATTAAGTAATGAATCATTCAGATGATATCAGATAGCTTATAATAGACTTGTCGCTTATATAGTCCTGTCGTCGATCAATGAAGGTACGGGAGGTAACTCTTAGTGTCGGCAAGTGTTTATAAGAGTTGTTTCCCCCTAATTATTTAGTGTCGCCTACTAAGGTTACATGAAAAATGCTTCAACGCTCTGGAATATGTAAACTATTAGTGAAGTATTATCACTACTTTAAAACCAAATAAAAGACATTTTCATGATTTTGATCATGTTTATAAGGCATACAACTACATAATAAGCAAATAATTTTTTCAGGAAATTATTGAACAACAATCACTAGATTCTAGCTGTGAGTTAGAAGGCGTGACAGGGTATTTTCATATTTAAACCATTATCATACATCACTGATTACACCGGGAAACAAGAATGGATGTGTGTTTATAGCCCTGTCCCAAGCATTGTTTCAGATAAATCACCTGAAATTTCTACCATTTTTTAGCATATTTTATGAATTTATTTGAAACTTTATTTGTCAGAAAGGCAATGTAATGAACATAATTTGTTTTTACATTTTTGACAATTCAGGCATGGGAACTACCTGGATGACGAGCAGACAGGTTGCCCCATTCCAGGCTTTAATGAACATGATCAAAGTGAATTACTTTGCCAAGTCTGAGGTATTCAGAGCTCTGATAGCTCTACTGTGTGACTACGACAGTACATGTTCAGAAAGTTTTAGAAAGGTATGTTTACTGTTATACGAGTTAAAACATTGTCTCAAGACTCATTCTTGCAGAATCTAGTTTTCTCATGAGCAAAATACCTCAATGTAGAAATAGGACAAGTAGGGGTTCATCTGGTGAATTTAGACCTTCAACTAACAAAGCAACTTGAAAAACACTATACAACTTAAAGTATCCACTTTGTCTGTTTTAACTTCAGGTTGACTTGAATATTAATTATATATATTGGTCAAGTGACAAATAAGCCCACTCTAGTCTGAAGCATTGTCATATATAATATGATATGTATATGTCTTCCATACACAAATTATTTCAAAAGTATTTTCATTCCAGACCTCACGCTACATTAGTGTGCTTCTTGGAGATAGCCAAGACCTTGCTGATTGCCTGATCTCCTTCCTGCCTCATCCCTCTCCCCCAGCCCCACCTCCACCTGAAGTTGTTACTACCCCCTCCTGGCATCCACCTATGGTCAAGCCAGGTTTGGTGCCATCTCACGCAGTTCAGAATATCTTCCATCTTCAGTCAGGAAGTGCTGCTTCAACATCCAATCTCAACATGCATGATCTGACAGCAACATTAAGATTACAGGAAGGAATCTGTAGATGGTAATATCTGTTGGGGGAAAATTGGGGAAATGATAAATCACTCATTTTTCTCATCAGTCAATATCTTTCGATTGCTTGGAGAGAATACATAAAAAGGAAGCAATCAATATAACTTAAATGTTACTTTTGGAATGGAAACACATGGGAACCCGGGTTAGAATGTGCCCAATAACCTTATGCTTGTTGTTAGAGGCAACCGAAATGGATTTGGGGTGAGGCTCAGTTGATTGTCATCCTAACTATGCTAACCAACAGCAAGAGGCGATGTCATACTAACCACTAGTGACAGACTGGATTATCAACTGGCCACAGTGATATGACTGGAATATTGCTGATTGCTGTGTTAAATAACATTCACTCACTTCAGTATATTTATATATTCTAGTGTAAATGATATTCACGCATCATTCTAGATTTTCAGTTGGCTCGGATAAAATTAGTGTCCATATTTAACCATTACGTATATGTTGGCATTGTAGGTGTGCACCAATGATGAATGAGAACATCAGTATGCCTGGATTAGTCCGGCCAAACATCTCTGCTAGTATGCAGAACATGAAGACTATTGCAACAGCCAAGTTTGGCTTTGATAGGGCAACCCCTCTCCTTCGTCCCTTCATGATGCCTCATCCAGGAGGTGATGCTAGCAATTGTCCCAGGATTCAGTCAACATTGGAGAGAGCTCCTGTCAGACCTCTCTCAGGCAGTACTACCCAGTCTGCTAAACATCATACTTTTGGCTTGGGACATCTCCCATCTGACCCCCATCATCTGCAGGTGCCTAGAGATCAGAAACCCCTGGATCTGTCTAAAGGTGACATAAGAAGTCTCACAGACTGTGTAACTGATCTTGTGGATCAGGTCCTTCCTCTGCCAAATCCTGTTACCAGTGGTCTCAATGTAAATCAAACGAACAAAACTGAACCAAACACTGCATTACCATATAGGGCACTAAATCAAAATTTTACATCACCAGAGTCTTCGGGTATCAAGTGTGTACCACCTGGCAACACTCCACTTTCCCATCTCCTGAATATGACAGCTTCATATGGAAAAGGACACTCTCTGCACACTTTGACCAACGGAAAACACACGAATGACATTCTGGACCAACACCATACGACTGCTGTGAAGAAGGTAAACCGACTGAAATCAAAGTCTGGCCGGGAACTGGAGTCTCTGAAGGAACTGACGGGGAAGCTCAAACTTGCTGAGAAGAAAATAAAGTTGTCACAGCAGTATGCCAAACTTTTCCACCCCACAAGTCCAGGTCAAGTTGGATTCACATCTACAGGAATCCCATTCCGGGTTATGGACCCCAAGATGCAGTATCCCATTCAGGAAACAGCCAAGAACTTGACTTCCTTCCCTTACATCCAGAGGGTCATCTTGCCAGATGGCGAGATGCGAACACTGAACTTCGACAACTCATCTACTAAGGTGGAGGACAACAGTCAAGAACAAAATTACGTTGAGACACATGCAAGTGGACATAATTTGCCTTTAAGGCAAGATTCCAGCGATAAACCCAGGAAGAAAAAGAGTAAGCACTTGGTGAAGACCTAAATCGGGGCATTCAGAAATCCTGATAAAAAGCATGGACTCCCAAGGGGTACCCCAAACAGACTCTTGTAGTTTACAAATTGATTCTTTTGTGTTTCAGGGGTATTCTTTCACATAAATCATGTGCAATCAAACATGTTAAAGTTAAACTCTTGTTATAATAAAGTTTGTTCCAAGAAATGACTGGATTATTTTTGTTTTGTTTAACTGATGGTGGAGGTGGTTTCAAGAACATCTTCCTTTTTCACATATCGATCAAAGTACCCATAGTTACAAGTGTAACACTAAGACAGATATGTGAAAAAAGCCCTGAAGTCTAAAGTTTGCAAATATTTCTTTTGAAACTTCAGAATGTTAAATGATTAATTTTTCTTAAAAATAAAATGGAAAAAATATAAAATATTGTTACGTCTTCTCGACGGATATAAAGCCCAATGACGTGAAACTAAGTGTGCTAGGCAACAATGTTATGCCTACTTTTGCAGATCAAATAACATTGCTAATATCATAAACGGATGTGTGAATTTGAATTGATACAATGGCCATAACCACTTGGAATGTTGATGCTGACAAGGCCACAATAAGAGAAAGCCTTTGTTTTGAGCAACCCTCACGACCCTGCAAAAGACCCTCACATCAGCATTGGTCGTCCCTAACCATCACTAATGGTCTCACTCCGGATGAAAAACAAACTCCTACCTACCAATGCAACAGATGCTTTTAATGATGGCTCAACTTCCATTAGGCTGCCTTGCTGGTATGCCCAGCTGGTGACTATCAAGTGAGCTTAAACTGGTACTATTCTTTCCATTCATTATTGACAGTGTCTCTGCTGGAGATGTCTCAAACTAATAGACCTGTGAACATCTGCCTCACCATCTCTACAAGATACAGGACATATCACAAAGCTGTCACTATATTCAAAAGTATGTGTAAATATACAGTTATTTTAACTACTGCCCTTGAATGGTTCTAAATACTACCGCACAGCATTTACTGTGATGGGACTTTTTTAACCACCTTTCCATGCATTCGTGACAAACTTGTGTTATTCCGGGACAAGCCGAATAGCGACTCGTGCCCCTCTATGGCCATATTTGTGACTTGGACCCGTCTTAGCGCAAACGGGCAGACCTGAAACAATTGTCAACTCGTTGCGTAATGGTTCACTTATATATTTCCCCATATATTATACATATTTTAGATGCAATTTAAAGCACAGCTGGACATGCAGAATTATACAGTATGATTGAACACATTTAACTGTCTTGGGTATATTTTTGGATGCAAGACATATGTAATATCAAAAATTATTTCTGAGGGATTCTTTGACAAAGAACTTGAAATCATACACACATTCTGATTGGTTTGTAGTATTTTCACACATAACATTCATCGATAGGGGGACGAGTCTTCTTGCAGGTTACGGAAAGGGGCGAGTGGTGACGAATGCTTTCCATGATGCCTTGGTTGGACTTATCCTTGCTCTGTGACACCCGGTCTGTCCATACAGGTGTGAAGCTCAACTGAATTGAGGCAACAGGTGTCAGTTGGGTATTCAAAACTTGTTTAACTTATGGGTGATGGTGCTGCAAATCTGATAAATGGGACTAGATCCCAGAAATCCTTGGAACCTTTTCACTGCAAATGAGTATCTCTCTCAATCAGGAATTTAAAATACAAATACCATTTGTCTTTGTGAAATTGATAACAAATTAATTATATATCAACTTTGAAAAATAATTATCAAAATAATTATCAAAATAATTATCAAAATAACCTAGACTTAGATTTTTTCTTCTTCACATTTTGCTAACCAGGCAAGTCTCATGGAAGCATATGATGTTATCCATCATATCAATGCTATGGAAAAAATTATTGATAACTTCTGTATCTTATAATGTTGATAAGCATTATGTGTTTTAATAATCTCGGTGTTATGGAGTATTTGATGCCTGGAAGTTCTAACATTTGAAACCTCGAGCGAACACTATCAGTTCAAAATGAAATTTCTGGGTGTTGAAGACTTACTAACACCCACAAATCTGGAAACAAATGTATCTCCTTACAAGATACTACTATTCAAATCCAGCTGTCATTGTGGCCATCTGATTCACATTCTAAACTACAATCACTCACAAACAATGTCCTACACCAAGGGAGCAGTTCAGAAGATTTATGCTGAAAACAAAACTTTATTCTTTAAGTTTTCTATTCAACAAAATCAGCTTTTCCAGGGATTTAGTTTTTCATGTTATGAAGTAACAGCTCTGTTTGTCTTATTTCTTAGCATATCGACCGTATGTTTAAAGTGAGTTGAGTGGAAATGTTGTCAAACTGACATAGTCAAATGCTCTGCCTCGCCACCAGCTTTAGGTGAGGTGAAATTGGGTTTAATGTCGCGTCCAAGATTATTGCACTTATATAGCGACGTGCATGCACGTTTGTGTGCATGACTGCTTGTACTAGTCCGGACTGATGCCGATTTATAGTGCTAGTTCACTGACATACCATGCCGCAGTTTAACATGAATACCCCACTCAGACACAGTATACTGACTCCGTGCCGACCAGTCCTTGTTTTAGCCCCTTAATGCCGAGCGCCAGACAGGGTAACAAGTACCATCTTTTAATGCTTTTGGTATGACGCGGCCGGGATCGAGCCCCGGACCTTCCGCTCTCTAGGCGGACGCTCTACCACTAGACCACGGAGGCGGTCGCCACCAGCTTTAATTTTGGGGGCAAAGTAGGATTCACTTTACAAAAGAATCTCTTTGAGGATGCCAGTATTTGAACAATTAAGTCAAGTCAACATCAAGATGAACAACAAAGATTAGTTTCATAAATATTTATTTACAAAATAGTACATTTTTCTTATATTTTTTTACAAAGATACTGCATAATAACTGGTCCATCAATGACTATACATGTTACACAATGGATAAGCACATGTATTTATCAGGCTAAAACAAACATAATGATTCTCAGACTTCTAAAGATGAATGTGGATAGTATGAAAATGTGATAAAGTGTGCAACTTGCCTGTCAGAATTTTAGTATTTAGCTTCATACTGAACTACTAATTTTATTGCTTTTGTGCAGGAGTGTTTTAACCGATACACCAGTGCCTGAAATCCAAGATTAGGAAACAATTCCTTATCTTTTTTAATTATGGATAAAACCTTCTTTGACAGAAGTAAATCCATGTACATGTTATTGTGAACATAATATTAAATATCTTGCAATTTTAATTTTTTGTTTAGTTGCCCCACTCAGCAATATTCCAGCTATATGACGGCAGTCTGTAAATTATCAAGTCTGGACCAGACAATCATGTGATTGACATCATGAGCATCGATCCACGCAAATGGTATACGATGACATTTATCAACTAAGTCAGCAAGCCTGACCACCCGATTTAGTTGCCTTTTACGACCAGCATAGTCGCCTTTCACTGCAAGCATGGGTTGCTAAAGACCTATTCTATCGCAGATCTTCACCCAAACACTTAAATATTGGTATTAATATTTTAACTACTACGATAGAAACTGAATACATTTCACACATGACATTATTTACTCTGAATGAAACAATAAATGTGTGTGTGTTACATACAAATGGCAGGAGTGGGAGAGTTTGGTTTAATTCCACTTTGAACATTATTTCAGTCATATACATCAGGGTGTGCCAGCATGATGTGGGAGGAAAGCCCAAATTGATGTAGGTGTTTTATGTATACCATATTGGCATGTTGGTGAAACCCACGAACACGGGTATGGTATAAACCTAGAAAAATAATCAGGGCTAAGAGGGATTCGAATCCACGATCACAGGTTTCTGGTATGCCAAAGGGAGGCAACTCTACACAGCACATGGTGTTGCCTAAGTGGACTGTGCCACCCATGTTTAGTTAGTGAATGTTCTTTTACAGAGCAGTTTGTAATAGTGCTGCTACTACCACTGTGATTTTTACATTAACGACTTTGGACCAGACAAACCAGTGATTGAAAGCATGATCAATGATACACATCATTTGGTTACAATAACAAAAAAAATCAGCCACACACACAGTGCATCCACATGATCACTATCTTTAGACAGTCTTTACCACGAGCTTTAAGTACCACTATGAGTAAGGAACCTATTCCATCCTAGAATCCAGGAGGACAATGCTTGATATGTACACATGTTACATGTATGGTTTCTGAGGGCAAGACATTGACTTAGTGGATCTGTCCTGAACCATGTGCATTCTTTGACATTCCGCTTCCAGAACTAAGTGTGCAGTGGTGTTGAGTACACTGTACAGATTGCATGTTCTCTTTATCATTTTTGTGATTAAGGACCCACCATTTAATATTCTGGTGGGGTGGGGGCTGTTTGATTTATTTTCTTTTGGTCACTGCTTCCAAAACTGCAATATTTTCTTTGAAAAGAGGAACCAAACATTAAAATATAGAAAAAATATTAAACCCCAGTTCTGTCAGCATGGTCATGACATCCACCAAACAAAATACTTCTTTCCACTTACTTCTGGAATAAAATATTTTATTATAAAAATTCTAACCACCCCAGGATATCCAGCATAGTTGTACATGCAATTTATACAAGCAAGAAGCAGTGACTATGATCTTGTCTTATACTGCAACAAGCTACTACTACTGCTCACACACTACTATACACTACTTTCTCCTAAATCTACAAAAATTATCTTTTTCTAAAAATTGATATACTTCCAGATACTACGACATATGTTCTAGTAAGTATATTGGCGCCATTATCTGTATTGGCTGGGAGTTACTAAAAGGAAACTTGATACAGTTCATTAAACACATAAAATGGCTGGAAGTCTACACGATGTCCTCACACATGCTGGGAAACAGACACCACAAAGTGTCACCACTCAGCAGTGATCACATCAGTCTTAAAGCAATATACAGCAGTCACTATAGACTAACATCTAGTTTCTGAAATGAACATATCCTACAGAAAAAAACAGTTGTTCAGTTATCTTAATAAAAATATAATAAAAGGGAGCCCAGTGACTCTCTTCATTTTCAGACTTGCCAAACATTATAGACTTGCATGGGCTGTATTTGATATATATTTGTATCAGGGCCTGTAAGACAGACTACAGTCACTATGTCAAACCTGAATACACTATGTACACACTTGCATCCAACTCAAGCCATCTCATTCAGACAATCACATGCAATGAGAGCTGAAATAAAACAAATGTTATTATGTGTGAATAATTACAATGTGCAGAGGTATTTGGAAACAAACATATAAAACAAAAAATCTAAGACAAAATATTTCTCTTTTTTTGTCTTCAGTAATGCTTAGGTATGGTCAGTTCATCCTTGTGTTGTGTTCTGGTCACAATGATAGCTGACCACACCTGCTTACTAATTACTTACAACCACAGTTTCAACGTGAACACTCACCTAGAGCGTGCAAATCTGGTAAGAACTTAAGGATGTCTGCTAGCCTTTGTTCAGTGGTAACAAAGTATTAACATTTTTAAAGACATATAATCTGAATATTTTAATCTTACTGTTCGAATGAAGACATAGATGAGTTCTGTCACCATCACCACGACAACTGGCCAAATAATTTGTTTGTTTTTCACTGTTTTACAATTAGGTGAAATGAAAAAACACACAAGATTTTATCATCTGTTCATAAGAAATGGTGAATAATATATATAAAAATCATTATTCTAACAACAGACACAGTCAAGTATCTTTTGGTATCTTCTTGTGTTGAAACAATTTTGTTTTTCATTCATTAGTCATGTTAGTAGCAGTGACCTTAGTGGAAGTTGAGAATTATGTTAATGTTGTTTTCGACCTACATTCGATTTTGGGCCAAGATTTTTGTAAAATAAAAAATAAAAAATAAAAGGCAACAATAGACCTCAGACTGCCCATGCTGCTTGAGCACGTAAAAAAATGACGGAGTTGTCCAGCAGAAACAAAAGGGAACCAGCAGACATCCACCCACAAATATTGCTAATAGTGGCCTTCAAACATATTTTAACACAACATTCCATCTATAAACAAATCAGACACCCTGTCACACAGCCATACATTCAGTTGGCTTCACACGCACACACACAACAGCTGATCATTGCGAGAATATTGACTACCCCCTGTTGTGGTCAATACATCATTACACAGACACACATGTTCATATAGCACCTTGTCAACTGAGGCTGTGGGCAATTTACAATCAATTCAGTGAAGGTTATTGCTAGGAGACTAACAGTGCTATACTAACCAATAAGTTTGACACAAAATACAGATACAACAAACTCCATCGACCCTCCAAACTTTAGTTTTGATCCCATGAAACGTACAATGACCCTACATTACAACTCCTCCATTAGTTCAGACAACAGTGCTCAGAATGAAGGATGGAAGTCAAGAGGGTCCTTATGGGGTATACTGTTTAGCATAAAACAAGAAATGTAAATGTAATCTTTATCGTAAAAGATTAACGTAGAATGTGCATAAGAAACTGAAAAGCGTAAATTATAACTTAACTGTTAGCATAACCATGCTAAAATCTCATAAAAGTCGTATATGTACATCTACATAACTCAGTGTTTCGTATTTGCAAAACATGAACTGCAGTAATGAAACGAGAGAAGAAACAGCTGTCACCATGTTTCCCAGACTGATGATCTGCATGCACATAAATACAATTTCACATTTTGACAGCTTGTCCGCTATTCACATGTTTTTTTACTGACAAAGACCAAAAGATAATGACTACTGACTAAAGGCTGTCAATTAAACTGTCTGCTTGTGACCCCCCAACAGGACCCTCAGCCAAGGGGTTCCTGTCACATTACTGAGGGTTAGGGTGTGGGGGTGATGCCAGTGCACCCATTTTCAGAAACCTTTGTTTTCAACCTTCTTCGTCTATCCCTCTATCACGTGTTGTTTTTTAAACTCTGTGACTTGGACAGTGTGTACCACACTCTTTCACCCATCCCAACCCACACTTAGTCTTTCTTAAATCCTGGATCTGCCTCAAAATCAAAAATCAAATGTATAGAAATTTAATGCTGACATTGTCTTTAATAAGTTGCTAGTTCTAAAAACCATACTGACACGGGACTACTCACAATTTGTACAACTGGATAGAGTTCATCACACCTGAGTATTCACTCTGCTGAGCTGATTCAACATCACTGTTCTTATCGAACATTCATTTTCAATCACGAGTTTATGGATTCTGTCCTTCAATGTTGATCATGTTAATGTATTTAAGACTGCAAGAAACAAGGACTAGATCACTATTTTCCAAAAATTGAAAATACATCCTACTTTTAACATTTATATATCATAATATATTTCAAAATATATTTCAATCATTATTCTATTCATACTTACTTTTCAAATTTGATAATAAATTGCACACAACCTATATGACATACATCTCTATTTGTTAGGAAGATATATACACATATATCATTGTATATCACACTATGCTGTTCTCATATAGATTTCACTGTGAATGGTTCTTCAAAGGTGAGGATCTGCATGTCATGGGTGGCAGCGGCCACATTGTCCAGCGACGCCCCCAGCCCAGACAGGTGAAGGAAGAACGATTCCTTCTCTACCTGCACTGTCAGATTGGTAATTCCAAATTCTCGGAAAAGTGATGTCACCTGCAAAGAAGATAACTTGGACACTTAGTCTATTATATCAATGAGAGTTCAGAGTATTCTATGTGTCAGTGTCAGGTCAATATAAATACACATGACTAAATAAAAGCAAAGTCACTGAACAGTCTCAGTGATTAAGGTCAACATTATAGTCTATTAAGCCTAGGTGGTTATTTGACACATATTGGCAATCCAGACCATTATTTGGACAAGCAATGGGACATTTGAAATAAGTATTTAACTCAACCTGAACCTGGTAATGGAGTAAAATCACTTCTCATCACTTCAAATTGGGCTCAATATGCCAACAATGTGCGAAGCCAATTCCTTGTGAACACCCCACCAATGATATTGCAGGAATAATACTAAAAGTGACGTAAAACTATACTCACTCACTCAAACTGAAGTTTAGCACTCTGTCTTACATATCTAGCAAGAGCCAAGACGTTTTACTAAAATGTTTTCCTTTCCAAAACAATATAGCTTAAGGCTTATCAGATAATCCTTTTCAAATACATGTAACACCAATTCAGCATAAAGTTATGTTGTCTTGTTTTATCAGCTCCATTTCCTGGCTTATCCCAACAAATCCATGTTTACAGTGATGCTGCAGTAGCCGAGTAGTCTGGAAAGATCCTGATTCAGTTCCCACCATGCATACAGAGGGTGAAGCCAATCTTTTGTCCCCTTCAGTGATATGGACCTATCAAGATCCATGGTAGAATAGGTCATCAGTAGCCCACCCTTGCCGTAAAAAGTGACTATGCTTGTCGTAAGAGGGATCGGGTGGTCAGACTCGCTGACTTGGTTGATGCATGTCATCGTATCCCATTTGCGTGAATCGAAGCTCATGATGTCAATCACTTGATTGTCAGGTTCAGACTCGGTCATTTACAGACCGCCGTCATATAGCTGGAATATTGCTGAGTGTGGCCTTAAACAACAAACCAATGAACAATCAGTGGTATGGTTAGACTACTGATCAAATCAGTATTAAGGCTCCACACATTACTTACCTGGGTAATGATTTTCTGTTCACTTTTGTCGGGCGCCACTTGAACATGCAGCATACCGATGACCTTTGATGACGTATGCCACCAGAAGTAAGGGCGTCGGTATGATATTACACCATCTATCGTCAAAACCTGCAACACCAAACACAGCAACCAACTAACATTAGTTATTTCATACAGACACATTGATATTTTCATGAATTATGTTCATTGCTCATTTCGACCACTACACAATTTGCAGCTAACAATGTAATCAAATATTCAGTTGTTATAACAGTCTCACTATGTACAATGATCTTACCTTTTGTAAAATATGTGTTAGATCTTTTTCCATTTCTGTCGGAGTTCTTAGAAGTAAAACTGTTGTTGTATCTTTCAGTAAAGGCAACACACTCAACAATATGAGCGTCGCAATGAATAATGAACATATAGGGTCAGCCACGTTCCAGCCAAAGTTCTCTATAATCAGCGTTGATATAATGACGCCAACACTGCCCATGGTGTCTGCTAGCACATGTAGAAACACCCCTGAAAAACAACAAATTCTGTCAGCATTATGATTACATTGCACATGACCAGGTACAATTAACAATGTTTTCATTCTTGAAGACCACCTTCCACAAGTTTAACAAGCATGAACACAGTGAGTGAGTGAGTGAGTGAGTGAGTGAGTATGGTTTAACGCTGCTTTTAGCAATATTCCAGCAATATCACGGCGGGGTCACCAGATATGGGCTTCACACATTGTACCCATGTCGGGAATCGAACCCAGGTCTTCGGCATGACGAGCTAACGCTTTAACCACTAGGCTACCCAACCGCCCCAGCATGAACACAGTGACAAAAGGACGTCAACCAGCACTATAGTGTGTCCTTCCTTCCTTGTTAAGCATTAGAAATTGACACTAGTCCTATAGTCCTTGTGAAACTGCCCAATAGTTTAGTTATCACGAGGTCTTGTAGAAACTTGTCATTTTTAAGGGTTTTGCTATATATTATCATTATAAGGACTAGTGGACTAAAAATGTTTGCTGTGATGTGGCAGTGATTGAGAATGTTTAGGGAGTAATAATCATGAAACACATGTACAATTGCTATAGAAGACAAACTTAAGGACTTGCATAGGTCATTACTGTGTCAAATAAGCTACTTTCATATTATTTTCCTGATCATAATCCTTTTGTCTGAATGATCAAATCTTCTTCTGTGAACAACATATAACATACCCAGTTTTCAGGAGCTTCAGTGAAACAAACCCACTGGGACAATTAGATTAACAAGTGATGAAAGTCAGTCATCAAGGAGGAAAATAGAATCGGGTAACATGCATGTCATTCTTATGAAATCATTTTAACATGGTGTCATCATGTGTATGCAAAACATTATCAAACATGGCAAACATGTTATGACTAAACGAATGAGGCAAGGTTATGTCAAGAGAGGCCAGTTAATCATTGAAATCTGGAAATTGGAAAAAATAGAATTTAACACTGCATTAAGGGAGAAGGCGGTAATAAGTGCTGCACTTGTGCCCAATCCCTTTGTCTTTTTGGACAATGAAATATGTTTAATAATAATTTAATAATAATAAGTTGTATTCCAGCAAAAGGGATACCAATAACAGGCTACACACAACGTACCTATGTTCCAAATTAAAACCAGGTCCTCGGTGAAAACACAGTGAGATAGTGAGTGAGTCAAAATTTACAGTCATGTCGGCAGTATTTCAGCCGTTTTGTGACAGCTATCACACAGCCACTGGCTAATAGTAAAATGTGTGCAGCTCAAGTCATAATGTCACTTACCCTGCATGTTCGTATTACTCCCAAAGTGGGAGTGACCATGGGAAGCATGCGACGGACTTCCATGGCTGTGTCCATGATCCCCCCACAAAGAATGGCTTTGTTCACATGGACTTGAACTTCCATGTGAATGGCCATGACTTCCATGATTGTGACCTTGACCTCCATGAGAATGACCATGACCTCCCCCATGTGCGTGACCTCCCCCGTGAGAGTGGCCATGACCTCCATGGCCGTGTCCATGTGAACTACTGAAGGCGAATATACCAATAAGATTTACTGCTAAACCAAGAACGGAGACAGTCTGAAAAACAAAGGAAAGCCATTTTACAAGAAAAGTTTTTCAAACATCAAATACTGTTAAATTTAGGCGAAAATATGAAACAACCTCTTCCCCAACAACAAGAAGAAAGAAGAAGAATGCTTCATGGAAATAGAACTCTACACAAGATAGGGGACAATATAGTCAGATGGTCTACTTTGAGTCCCAGTGTTCTCTCGCCTCTTTTTGTTGCCTGTATATTCCGTTTAGTCTACCACGGTTACTAAAATTCTTTTACAAAATTTTGCTTTAACAACTAGACTTCTCCACTGCCCAAAGTCTTACCAGCAGTTTTGCTGTTTTGATCTCCGGTGGCTCAAAAAGTCGCGTGACGGCTTCAGCAAATACAAATATAGAAATGATGACAAGGAAGAGGCCATTAATAAAACCAGACAGCACTTCAACCCGATCATACCTGAAAAGAATAAAACCATAAACAATAAAACAGTGCAATTTCACAACAAAGTAAAATAAAACAAACTTATAGTCCTGATTCAGTGTATCATCTACACAATATTCACAAACAAATTTTAATGATAATTTAATTATTTATTTAGTAATTGAAAATCTCACCCGTATGAGAATATTCTTGTTGCTTTCCATCTGGTCATGATGGAGGCATACAAGCCCATGACGAGGGCCGAGCAATCAAACAGCATATGGAACCCATCAGATATTAGACCGAGACTGTTGGTCCACACGCCGTACAACAGCTCTACAAACGTGAACATCTGCAACACAGTAAGCTACATACAGCACCAGCAAATACCAAGCCATCACAAGTACAACAACAGCAACTATGGATGTTCAACTCCACAGTCAACAATATGCTAGGTGTGCCTGTCAGGGCAAGACAAACCAGTGGTTGATAGCATGACTGCTATCAGGTCACAATGACATCCTTTGAAATGCACGCTAGTCTGCTAGCCTGAGACTACTAAATTGGGCTGAGGACAAGTAAAAATCCAATAATGGCTATTATTCTGAACCTTTAAATGTTTCACTTGTGCTACAAATTGGAACTGAATAAAACTGACAGAAAATGTAATCATATTAAACAGTTTTGTCTCAATCAAGCAGGGCTGGGGACCTAGCTGAGCTCCAAAGGAGCACAAATAACCAACATCAGATGTAAGACATCACCACATTCTGAACCGCTACCATCTATTCACACAACATTTAAACTTTACTCATGACCTCGGCCCCTTAGGCAAAGCATATTATAGCTACAGTTATTTTAACTCTTATACTTTAACCATGTTAACATATGGATTAATAATAAATGTATTAAAAGCAAAATACATTTGCAAAGTGATTTCATAACAAGTTATTGCAGTGGTTACTTAGAAGAGAAAAGTGCTAGTTATATAATATTAAAAAATATAAGATATCTATGCAATGAATCTTAAAGAACAATGTTGTCTTTTTTTTTTTTTGTTTAACGCCGCACTCAGCAATATTCCAGGTATATGACTGGTATGGTCTGTAAATAATCAAGTCTGGACTAGACAATCTAGTGATTGACATCATTAGCATCGATCCACATAATTGGGATCGATAACATGCATCAACCAAGTCAGCGAGCCTGGCCACCCGATCCCGTTAGTCGCCTCTAACGACAAGCATAGTCACCTTTTATGGGAAGAACAGGTTGCTGAAGACCTATTCTACCCCGGATCTTCATGGGTCATGTTACTAATGAGAGGGATGTTTATACAATTGCAGAATGATCGCATTCAAAAGTTGGTGAGATATGGCAATATCTTTTGGGAGAAAAGGAGCAGATGTGAAAATTGTGAGAATATCCAGGAAATACCAAAAGTATTTTAGGTTGCTGCGCCTGTTTTAATGCATGATGCACAACTACCACTCATTGCTTATTTCTTAAATACACAACGTTGAGGTTGAGGCTCGCTGACTTGGTTGATACATGTCATCGATCCAAATTGTGTGGATCGATGCTCATGATATTAATCACTGGATTGTCTGATCCAGACTTGATTATTTACAGACGACCGTCATATAGCTGGAATATTGCGGAGTGCAGTGTTAACAACGAACCAACCAATTACAAGAGGTTGTCATTTCTTGAGTGCAACCCACCAGGTTAATACACAAGAAGTAGAAGATCTTGCGGGAGTTTGATTCCTCCAGAATCTGTCGAAGGCCGTTTTTGAGAATTATGAAAGCTGACTGTGATGTGCGATGGAAAGCCTCCCCTGCAAAACTGTACAATGGAAGTCCGGATGGAGAGTAGCCAATGAAGCTGCCCTTGGCACTGCGGCTTGGGGACACCAGCAACCATGTACCTGGTGGAGCAAGGTAGAGTCATAAATATCCTAATTTTCAAAATATTTGTACTTATGAAGGACATCTCTTTTCTTAAACTTTAAGAGTGGTGAAATGTTGCATATGGGTGATGAAAGAAACCAAGATATCTTGTCATTTTCTGTTCCAGTGCACAATAAAAGAAAACACATATGCCCTCTGAAAATATCAGTGTGGGATTCTTCATCATGTTAATACAACAAGTCTAAGGTTGACAGTTAACAAGTCTGGATTGTGGGGGAAATACCAAGGACCGATGATGACCAATCTCATTCAAACCAGATTTCAGTGTTTGAACCGCTACACTAAACATGCTAAAGATCTGAGGACATCCCATCATGCCCATTGCAGGTTACGTCAAAATGATCTTTGCGAACTTTGACCAAGCAATGCAATGACTAACAGGAAGTCAACAATAGCCAATGGGAAAGCAGCTTTCTCCAACTTCACGGCACTAGTATCAAAATGTCGACCTCCATACTAGATTACGCTTTGAACAATACTTTGACAAAGTTCTCAATTCAAAATTTGAAAACTGAACAAAAGAATATTCTGGAATGTCTAATAGATGTCTGGAAGATTGTATGTACTTCCCACAGGCTGTGAAAAAATCTCTTCTGCTTCAAATGTTCATCCCACAGAAGCAAGCGACAGATGACGTTGAACATATGGCATGAGTCATACAACCTGAGCTTTCATTCAGAATACCATGTGTTAACCTTTCCATGGTTACATGATTAGAAAACACATTCAAACCTTCGTGATTTTGTAAGCAACGTTCTTATTGGTCTGATTAAAGGTTGTTCTGACTTGACCTGTAATGGGATGTCCTCAGATCTTTGAGTAGCAGTGATGTGCACTAAGATCTGATTTTAATGAGATTAGATGATAATACACAAAAGTTCAGACCCGCATATAACAGTCCTTGGGAATGGATTCATTAGTTTATGGGTACTTTTGCATTTGCCTGCAATCTCAAACCATCTGATTAAACATCATCTGGTCAATAGTAAGTCTGTCATGAATCTCTTACTAATTCACAAGAATGACCTTCAAAAAGACACACAGAAAAAATGTCACAACATATTTGGATTTGTGGGGAAAAAGTTCAAGATTCTTGTAATGACCGCTTGCACACTGGTGGCAGTGATGATACTGGGAGGGTGAATCAGCGTTAGAAATTGGCACTAGTCCTGTAGTCCTTGCCAAACTGCCCAATAGTTAAGGTATCACAAGGACTAGTAGAAATTTGCCATTTTTAAGGGTTTTGCAAGATGTTATCATTATAAGGACTAGTGGACTAAAACTGTAAGTTTCTATTGCTGGTGAATATGTAACAAAGTTGTCACATGCTGGGAGGCAGCTTGCATAACATTCAGTTATCTAGTGATTATCATATATAACCCTGCTCCTTAACTCACCCAGGATGAGAGCCATGAGGCTGAAGACAACTCCCCCCGAGAGGACATGGTCCTCCGTGATGACTTCCCTCAGCTTGTGCATGGTGGTGATCTGGGCCATGTAGGGGTGATTCCAGGTGGAGCTGAGGAACAGCGCCCCCAGGGAGATGGCAGCCACGCCGTATAGAGCCGTCTTCTGTGGCTGTAGATGGTTTATGGACACTGCCTCGATGTAGAAGTCAATCAGGAAGACGAACATGATGACCAGCAGAAGAGGAAACAACAGGTAGAGCCATGACTGTATGTCACTCTGGAAGTAGCATACAAACACTGATATACAACAGTAGAGCCATGACTGTATGTCACTCTGGAAGTAGCATACAAACACTGATATACAACAGTAGAGCCATGACTGTATGTCACTCTGGAAGGAGCATATAAACACTGATATACAACAGTAGAGCCATGACTGTATGTCACTCTGGAAGTAGCATACAAACACTGATATACAACAGTAGAGTCATGACTGTATGTCACTCTGGAAGGAGCATACAAACACTGATATACCACAGGTACAGCCACGATTGTGTCACTCTGGAAGAAGCATACAAACAGTGATATACCACAGTAGAGCCATGACTGTATGCCATTCTGGAAAAAGCATAAAAACACTGATATACAACAATAGAGCCATGACTGTATATCACTCTGGAAGTAGCATAAAAACACTGATATACAACAAAAGAGCCATGACTGTATGTCACTCTGGAAGTAGCATACAAACACTGATATACCACAGTAGAGCCATGACTGTATGTCACTCTGGAAGGAGCATACAAACACTTACATACAACAGTAGAGCCATGACTGTATGTCATTCTGGAAGGAGCATACAAACACTGGAATACAACAGTAGAGCCATGACTGTATGTCACTCGGGAAGGAGCATACAAACACTGATATGCAACAGTAGAGCCATGACTGTATGTCACTCTGGAAGTAGCATACAAACACTGATCTACCAATGTAGGGCCATGACTGTATGTCACTCTGGAAGTAGCATACAAACACTGATATTCAACAGTAGAGTCATGACTGTATGTCACTCTGGAAGGAGCATACAAACACTGATATACCACAGGTACAGCCACGATTGTGTCACTCTGGAAGAAGCATACAAACAGTGATATACCACAGTAGAGCCATGACTGTATGCCATTCTGGAAAAAGCATAAAAACACTAATATACAACAATAGAGCCATGACTGTTTGTCACTCTGGAAGTAGCATACAAACACTGATATACAACAATAGAGCCATGACTGTATGTCATTCTGGAAGGAGCATACAAACACTGATCTACCACAGTAGAGCCATGACTGTATATCACTCTGGAAGTAGCATACAAACACTGATATACAACAATAGAGCCATGACTGTATGTCACTCTGGAAGGAGCATACAAACACTGATATACAACAGTAGAGCCATGACTGTATGTCACTCTGGACGTAGCATACAAACACTGATATACAACGGTAGAGCCATGACTGCATGTCACTCTGGGAGGAGCATACAAACACTAATATACAACAGTAGAGCCATGACTGTATGTCACTCTGGAAGAAGCATATAAACTCTGATATACAGCAGTAGAGCCATGACTGTATGTCACTCTGGAAGTAGCATACAAACACTGATATACAACAGTAGAGCCATGACCGTATGTCACTCTGGAAGGAGCATACAAACACTTATATACAACGGTAGAGCCATGACTGTTTGTCATTCTGGAAGGAGCATACACACACTGATATACAACAGTAGAGCCATGACTGTATGTCACTCTGGAAGTAGCATACAAACACTGATATACAACAATAGAGCCATGACTGTATGTCATTCTGGAAGGAGCATACAAACACTGATATACAACAGTAGAGCCATGACTGTATGTCACTCTGGAAGTAGCATACAAACACTGATATACAACAGTAGAGCCATGACTGCATGTCACTCTGGAAGTAGCATACAAACACTGATATACAACAGTAGAGCCATGACTGTATCATGTGTATGTCACTATGGAAGTAGCATACAAACACTGATATACAACAGTAGAGCCATGATGACTGTATGTCACTATGGAAGTAGCATATAAACACTGATATACAACCGTAGAGCCATGACTGTATGTCACTCTGGAAGGAGCATACTAACACTGATATACAACAGTAGAGCCATGACTGTTTGTCATTCTGGAAGGAGCATACAAACACTGATATACCACAGTAGAGCCATGACTGTATGTCACTCTGGAAGTAGCATACAAACACTGATATACAACAGTAGAGCAATGACTGTATGTCACTCTGGAAGGAGCATACAAACACTTATATACAACGGTAGAGCAATGACTGTATGTCACTATGGAAGTAGCATATAAACACTGATATACAACAGTAGAGCCATGACTGTATGTCACTCTGGAAGGAGCATACAAACACTTATATACAACGGTAGAGCAATGACTGTATGTCACTATGGAAGGAGCATACTAACACTGATAGACAACAGTAGAGCCATGACTGTTTGTCATTCTTGGAGGAGCATACAAAAACTGACATACAACAGTAGAGCCATGACTGTATGTCATTCTGGAAGGAGCATACAAACACTGATATACAACAGTAGAGCCATGACTGTATGTCACTCTGGAAGTAGCATACAAACACTGATATACAACAGTAGAGCCATGACTGTATGTCACTCTGGAAGGAGCATACAAACACTGATATACAACAGTAGAGCCATGACTGTATGTCACTCTGGAAGTAGCATACTAACACTGATATACAACAGTAGAGCCATGACTGTATGTCACTCTGGAAGGAGCATACTAACACTGATATACAACAGTTGAGCCATGACTGTATGTCATTCTGGAAGGAGCATACAAACACTGATATACCACAGTAGAGCCATGACTGTATGTCACTCTGGAAGTAGCATACAAACACTGATATACAACAGTAGAGCAATGACTGTATGTCACTCTGGAAGGAGCATACAAACACTTATATACAACGGTAGAGCAATGACTGTATGTCACTATCGAAGTAGCATATAAACACTGACATACAACAGTAGAGCCATGACTGTATGTCACTCTGGAAGGAGCATACAAACACTTATATACAACGGTAGAGCAATGACTGTATGTCATTCTGGAAGGAGCATACTAACACTGATAGACAACAGTAGAGCCATGACTGTTTGTCATTCTTGGAGGAGCATACAAAAACTGACATACAACAGTAGAGCCATGACTGTATGTCATTCTGGAAGGAGCATACAAACACTGATATACAACAGTAGAGCCATGACTGTATGTCACTCTGGAAGTAGCATACAAACACTAATATACAACAGTAGAGCCATGACTGTATGTCACTCTGGAAGGAGCATACAAACACTGATATACAACAGTAGAGCCATGACTGTATGTCACTCTGGAAGTAGCATACTAACACTGATATACAACAGTAGAGCCATGACTGTATGTCACTCTGGAAGGAGCATACTAACACTGATATACAACAGTAGAGCCATGACTGTATGTCATTCTGGAAGGAGCATACAAACACTGATATACCACAGTAGAGCCATGACTGTATGTCACTCTGGAAGTAGCATACAAACACTGATATACAACAGTAGAGCCATGACTGTATGTCACTCTGGAAGGAGAGTACAAACACTGATATACAACATTAGCGCAATGACTGTATGTCACTATGGAAGTAGCATATAAACACTGATATACAACAGTAGAGCCATGACTGTATGTCACTCTAGAAGGAGAGTACAAACACTGATATACAACATTAGCGCAATGACTGTATGTCACTATGTAAGTAGCATATAAACACTGATATACAACAGTAGAGCCATGACTGTATGTCACTCTGGAAGGAGCATACTAACACTGATATACAACAGTAGAGCTATGACTGTTTGTCATTCTGGAAGGAGCATACACACACACTGATATACAACAGTAGAGCCATGACTGTATGTCACTCTGGAAGTAGCATACAAACACTGATATACAACAGTAGAGCCATGACTGTATGTCACTCTGGAAGGAGCATTCAAACACTGATATACAACAGTAGAACCATGACTGTATGTCACTCTGGAAGGAGCATACTAACACTGATATACAACAGTAGAGCCATGACTGTATGTCACTCTGGTAGAGCATACTTACACTGATATACAACAGTAGAGCCATGACTGTATGTCACTATGGAAGTAGCATATAAACACTGATATACAACAGTAGAGCCATGACTGTATGTCACTCTGGAAGGAGCATACAAACACTTATATACAACGGTAGAGCAATGACTGTATGTCACTATGGAAGGAGCATACTAACACTGATATACAACAGTAGAGCCATGACTGTTTGTCATTCTGGGAGGAGCATACAAACACTGACATACAACAGTAGAGCCATGACTGTATGTCATTCTGGAAGGAGCATACAAACACTGATATACAACAGTAGAGCCATGACTGTATGTCACTCTGGAAGTAGCATACAAACACTGATATACAACAGTAGAGCCATGACTGTATGTCACCCAAGTGACGCCTACTAACCTGTAATGTGTAAGGGAAATAAGGTCTATTCTAACATGGATACCACCTCTCTGGTGGGAGACAATCAAGGTCTATTCTAACACGGATACCCATCTCTCTGGAGGGAGAGAATCAAGGTCTATTCCAACATGGATACCACCTCTCTGGTGGGAGAGAATCAAGGTCTATTCTAACACGGATACCCATCTCTCTGGGAGGAGAGAATCAAGGTCTATTCCAACATGGATACCACCTCTCTGGTGGGAGAGAATCAAGGTCTATTCTACATGTTCTAACATAGATGCCCACATCTCAGGTTGGTGACCATCAAGATCTATTCTAACATGGATACCAACCTCTCTGTTCTGAGAGAATCAAGATCTATTCTAACATGGATACCACCTCTCTGTTCTGAGAGAATCAAGATCTATTCTAACATGGATACCACCTCTCTGGTGGGAGACAATCAAGGTCTATTCTAACATGGATACCACCTCTCTGGTGGGAGAGAATCAAGATCTATTCTACATGTTCTAACATAGATGCCCACTTCTCAGGTTGGTGACCATCAAGATATATTCTAACATGGATGCCTACTTCTCTGTTCAGAGACAATCAAGGTCTATTCTAACATGGATACCACCTCTCTGGTGGGAGAGAACCAAGATCTATTCTAACATCGATGCCCACCTCTCTGTTTGGAGACAATCAAGGTCTATTCTAACATGGATACCTATCTCTCTGGTGGGAGAGAATCAAGATCTATTCTACATGTTCTAACATAGATGCCCACTTCTCAGGTTGGTGACCATCAAGATATATTCTAACATGGATGCCTACTTCTCTGGTGGGAGACAATCAAGGTCTATTCTAACACGGATACCACCTTTCTGGTGGGAGAGAACCAAGATCTATTCTAACATGGATGCCCACCTCTCTGGTGGGAGAAAATCAAGATTTATTCTAACATGGATACCACCTCTCTGTTCTGAGAGAATCAAGATCTATTCTAACATGGATACCACCTCTCTGGTGGGAGAGAATCAAGGTCTATTCTAACATGGATACCACCTCTCTGGTGGGAGAGAACCAAGATCTATTCTAACATGGATGCCCACCTCTCTGGTGGGAGAAAATCAAGATCTATTCTAACATGGATACCACCTCTCTGTTCTGAGAGAATCAAGATCTATTCTTACATGGATACCACCTCTCTGGTGGGAGAGAACCAAGATCTATTCTAACATCGATGCCCACCTCTCTGTTTGGAGACAATCAAGGTCTATTCTAACATGGATACCTATCTCTCTGGTGGGAGAGAATCAAGATCTATTCTACATGTTCTAACATAGATGCCCACTTCTCAGGTTGGTGACCATCAAGATATATTCTAACATGGATGCCTACTTCTCTGTTTGGAGACAATCAAGGTCTATTCTAACATGGATACCAACCTCTCTGTTCAGAGACAATCAAGGTCTATTCTAACACGGATACCACCTTTCTGGTGGGAGAGAACCAAGATCTATTCTAACATGGATACCCACCTCTCTGGTGGGAGAGAACCAAGATCTATTCTAACATGGATACCCACCTCTCTGTTTGGAGACAATCAAGGTCTATTCTAACATGGATGCCCACCTCTCTGGTGGAAGAGAACCAAGATCTATTCTAACATGGATACCCACCTCTCTGGTGGGAGAGAACCAAGGTCTATTCTAACATGGATACCCACCTCTCTGGTGGGAGAGAACCAAGATCTATTCTAACATGGATACCCACCTCTCTGGTGGGAGAGAATCAAGGTCTATTCTAACATGGATACCCACCTCTCTGGTGGGAGACAACCAAGATCTATTCTAACATGGATACCCAACTCTCTGTTTGGAGACAATCAAGATCTATTCTAACATGGATACCACCTCTCTGGTGGGAGAAAATCAAGGTCTATTCTAACATGAATACCACCTCTCTGGTGGGAGAGAATCAAGATCTATTCTAACACGGATACCAACCTCTCTGTTCGGAAAGAATCAAGATCTATTCTAACATGGATGCCCAACTCTCTGTTTGGAGACAATCAAGATCGATTCTAACATGGATACCACCTCTCTGGTGGGAGAAAATCAAGGTCTATTCTAACATGAATACCACCTCTCTGGTGGGAGAGAATCAAGATCTATTCTAACACGGATACCAACCTCTCTGTTCGGAAAGAATCAAGATCTATTCTAACATGGATGCCCAACTCTCTGTTTGGAGACAATCAAGATCTATTCTAACATGGATACCACCTCTCTGGTGGGAGAGAACCAAGATCTATTCTGACAAGGATACCTATCTCTCTTGTGGGAGAGAATCAAGGTCTATTCTAACATGGATACCCACCTCTCTGGCGGGAGAGAATCAAGATCTATTCTGACAAGGATACCTATCTCTCTGTTTGGAAAGAATCAAGATCTATTCTAACATGGATGCCCAACTCTCTGTTTGGAGACAATCAAGATCTATTCTAACATGGATACCACCTCTCTGGTGGGAGAAAATCAAGGTCTATTCTAACATGAATACCACCTCTCTGGTGGGAGAGAATCAAGATCTATTCTAACATGGATACCACCTCTCTGGTGGGAGAGAACCAAGATCTATTCTAACATGGATACCACCTCTCTGGTGGGAGAGAATAAAGACTTATTCTGACAAGGATACCTATCTCTCTGGTGGGAGAGAATCAAGATCTATTCTAACATGGATACCCACCTCTCTGGTGGGAGAGAATCAAGGTCTATTCTAACACGGATACCCACCTCTCTGGTGAGAGAGAATCAAGGTCTATTCTAACATGGATACCCACCTCTCTGGTGGGAGAGAATCAAGGTCTATTCTAACACGGATACCCATCTCTCTGGTGGGAGAGAACCAAGATCTATTCTAACATGGATACCCACCTCTCTGGTGGGAGAGAATCAAGATCTATTCTAACATGGATACCCACCTCTCAGCTGGGAGACAATCAAGGTCTATTCTAACATGGATACCCACCTCTAAGGTCGGAGAGAATCAAGATCTATTCTAACATGGATACCCACCTCTCGTGTGAGGTATATGAAGGCTGCCCAGGGCCACAGTAGACCAGCTGATACAAATGTTGACAGAGCATGAAGACGTTTTGCCCCGCCCACTTCCACTGACAGTTTTTTAGCAGCTGCATTGTAGCCCACATGAAGACACAAGGTGATGAACAACAGCACCACACCACCCTGTAACAAACCACAGTCATACTTTGATGCATATGTTTGGGACAATAAAGTGAGTGAGTGAGTGAGTATGGTTTTACGCCGATTTTAGCAATATTCCAGCAATATCACGGCGGGGGGACACCAGAAATGGGCTTCACACATTGTACCCATGTCAGGAATCGAACCCGGGTCTTCGGCGTGACGAGCTAACGCTTTAACCACAAGGCTACCCGACCGCCCCCGGGACAATAAGTCAGTGAACAATAAGTGAACCAAGTCAGTGAGTCACATTTAACTCTTATTTAGCACTGGAATCAACCACTGTTAAAGAAGCATGCATTAATATCACAAACTGTGTTATAATGTTTATATAACCAAAATTAAAGAACAAACAGCATCTGATTATAGTAACTTTATTATAAAATATATAAAGTAAGGTGGAAGTTTCGTAAATGTGAAAGCCAGGAGAGAGACAGACTTACTTTGTGGTCAGACCATCCAACCAGATTTACAACGTGATAGAACACATGAGAAATAAACGTCCCATGGATGTCATCATGGCTGGCTGCAAGAGGAACATTTCAGGGGATAATGAGTGGACACTGTGTTCAAACAGTATTTCAGTTGTATCAACGTTAATCATTAATGTGGCAGGAAACATCAAAGTGAAGTAGATATTTAGACAGAAACTGAATTATCATGATTATACTTTAAACCAATCACATAGATGCTTAAAAAGCATGTCCGAAACAAAACACTGTCTAGACGGGTGGCAGAGTGAGACACACCAAGACACAGATTTCAACATCATGTAGCACCACTATACAACTGATTTCTATATAGGTGGTGAGGTGAAGTGAAATGGCGTCCAAGATTAGAACACTCATATAGCAACATACATGCACATGTGTGTGTGAGTAGCAGCTTGTACTAGTCCGGACTGATGCCGATTTATAGTACTAGCCAACAGAGATACAATGCCGCAGTTTACCATGAACACCCCACTCAGACACATTATACTGAATCCGAGCCGACCAGATCTTGTTTTAGACACTTAATGCCGAGCGCCAGACATGGCAACAACAATACTATGTTTTAACTTCTTTTTGTATGACACGGCCGGGGATCAAACCTTGGACCTTCTGCTCTCTGGGCGGACGCTTTACTACTAGACCACGGAGGCAGTCCAATTGCTATATAGAAATGCAGTCATGAAATGCAGGATTCAGCAGATAATAAAGCTTGAACATACTGAAAATATACTTCCAGGATGAAATATTAACTATGACCATGACCTTACCATCATGTTCAGACATCATGTCAAGTTTCTCATCATGATCAAACAAAAGAAGTGTGACCACGGCAACCAAGAAGAAAACAGCACCGCGGGACTGAAACAGGAGAAACAAAAAATTGAAAGCTTATACATATGATTTGTGTATGACAGAAATAAGTAAATGAATTACAGTTGCATTGTCTACATATACGCTATAAACAAGGATATGAAGAAGTTATGTGGGAGGCTTTATTGCACAAGAGTGTGAATTATAGAGGTCGGCTGTATTTCTAGTTTTGTCTTTCCATTAGTGCATCTTCCCGAGGCAAGAGAGTTAACTGACTATAAAAGTCCAGTTTCCACCCTTGCTGAACTAGGCTGGGATTATGGAGTTACATTTTGGCTGGTCTATGGAGTCTATGCATAGTCCAATCAAAATCGCGCACCGAAATCGAAATCCGGTTCGTAAACTGTCATGCAGAGTTAGGTCGATTGCAGGATTTGCACAGCATGTGCACCGCCAAGTCGTTGTCAACAGATATTTTCCAAATCTTTTCAAGTTTTTAATCAAGGTGCTCACGTGATTTGATGCACTTGCGATGTAAGACCAGTTTTATTACAATATAGATCTGATTATCTCTGGAATATTTGAAATTTTCACAAAAAGGGGCCATGTCAGAAAATTCCCCCAGTGAACCCTGATACATGCCAGAAGCATTAAAAAAAGCAAACTACCATAATCTAATTGTGTAACCATGGTACCATAGGACTATTAGTAGTTGTGCATCAATTAAGTAACAAGAAATGAGAACAAGTGAAAATCTAGTTATGTTACACAGACACTTGTCCAAAGTAAGCTGTGGACGAGATGGAGTTAACATGTGTCTGTCCGTCATGTCAAACTGTACATGTGTAACCCATGTCTATCGGTACTGATGACATTTGGCATCACCTTCGCAGGGCCTCCTCCATTGTTTGTGAAGAGAGCTGTAAATCCCGCGATGATCACAACATCACTGTGCTCGAACAACAAAATGGTTCTGAAGCAAAGATACATAGTTTTTAATGAGTGAGTGAGTATGGTTTTATGCTCCTCTTAGCAGTATTCTAGGAATATCACGACAGGGGACTCAATATTATTCCCACGTGGGGAATCAAACCCAGGCCTTCAGTGTGATGAACAAACACTTGAACCACCAGGCTATCCCACCACTCCACATACATTATAAGATAGGGGACAATCCAGCCAGAGGGTCAATATTGAGTCCCCGTGTCCTCTCACTTCTTATTGTTGCCCGTTTATTCAGTTTAGTCCTTTATCATGTTTAATCAAACTCTTATTTCAAAGGGTTCTTGTCATGCTTATAAAAAATAATTTGAAATTTGATATAAGATCATCTGTTTATCTCATATTGTTTCAAATTAGGTTTACACAGTAGGCACATTTTTACAACTAAAAATGGATTTTCTGTTTGGTGTTCTGATCACCATGAGTTAAATGTGAAGACCATTTGTGAGATTGTACTCGAACTACACTACGGACAGTGCTGGAATCTAGCTTACTAGCTCTGAGTGGGCTATGAACATAATGCATGGAAGCACAGTTGAACATCATCTCACCTGAGGGGACCACACAAGGTGAGTCCAAACATCCACAAGAAACCAATAAGGCTGCCAACAAATGCATGTCTCACTATCCGGAAGAGCTGGAACAAGTAGAAAATACTACAGTACAAGGACCCCAACAGTACAATCACCCAAGAGGACAAGCATCCCAAGAGTACAATTACCCAAGAGGACAAGCACACAAGAGGACAAGCACCCAAGAGGACAAGCATCCCAAGAGTACAATTACCCACGAGGACAAAACACCCCAACAGTACAAGCACCAAAGAGGACAAGCATCCCAAGAGGACAAGCACCCCAACAGTACAAGCACCCAAGAGGACAAGCATCCCAACAGGACAAGCATCCCAAGTGTACAATTACCCACGAGGACAAAACACCCCAACAGTACAAGCACCCAAGAGGACAAGCATCCCAAGAGGACAAGCATCCCAAGAGGACAAAACACCCCAACAGTATAAGCACCCCAACAGTACAATCAACCAAGAGGACAAGCATCCCAAGGACAAGCACCCAACAGTATAAGCACCCCAACAGTACAATCAACCAAAAGGACAAGCACCCAAGAGGACAAGCATCCCAAGAGGACAAGTACCCCAACAGTATAAGCACCCCAACAGTACAAGCACCCCAAGAGTACAAGCACCCCAAGAGTACAATCACCCAAGAGGACAAGCATTCCAAGAGGACAAGCACCCAACACTGAGTACTGACTGAGTATGGTTTTACGCCGCTTTTAGCAATATTCCAGCAATATCACGGCGGGGGACACCAGAAATGGGCTTCACACATTGTACCCATGTCGGGAATCGAACCCGGGTCTTCGGCGTGACGAGCGAACGCTTTAACCACTGGGCTACCCGACCGCCCCTCAAGCACCCAACAGTACAAGCACCCCAACAGTACAATCACCCAAGATGACAAGCACCCAAGAGGACAAGCACCCCAACAGTACAATCACCCAAGAGGACAAGCATTCCAAGAGGACAAGCACCCCAACAGTACAATCACCCAAGAGGACAAGCATCCCAAGAGGACAAGCACCCAAGAGGACAAGCACCCCAACAGTACAATCACCCAAGAGGACAAGCATTCCAAGAGGACAAGCCCCAAGAGGACAAACACCCCACCTTTAACTTTCAGAAGATAACGAGGAGGAGGATAAGCCTTGTGAATCCAAACAATGCAAACTAGTCGAAAGCATTGTTAACCTTTCAGACCTCATGAGAGCTCATGGAAATGAAGTAGAATGTGACGCCCATGCCTCATGGTATAACTGCTTTGATTTGTCTTTCTGTTATTTCTCTTTGAAGAAAGGTTCCCATGCTTACCTGATTTTTTGTCAGTCTCCTGCCTGTGCTCAAGGGCTTCTGAAGAAACAGCAGTGGTACAGCAGTCCTGAAACAAACATGCAGACCAACTGTCAGTCACATGGGGCCTGTCACAATGATGGCACTGTTGCTTTATCAGCTTTATCAAACAGAGAATTATCCACATAAGTTGTGAGGTGAAATTGGGTTTAACGTCGCATCAAAGATTATTGCACTTAAGTCATACATGTATAGTGACGTGCATGCATGTGTTTATGTGGCTGCTTGTACTAGTCCGGGCTGATGCTGATTTATAGTGCTACTGAGATACAATGCCACAGTTTAACATATATACCCCACTCAGACACAGCATACTGACTCCGAGCCAACCAGTCCTTGTTTTAGCCCCTTACTACCGAGCACCAGACAGGGTAACAAGTACCTTCTTTTAACGTCATTTGGATCGAACCCCGGGCCTTCAGCTCTCCAGGCGGACGCCCTACCACTAGACCACGGAGGCGGTCCACAGACTTTGTCCTCCGCTTCTTATGATATAACCTTAGTCTTTAAACTTATCATTGCACCAGGGCCTAAGTCCATCTTTTATCATCCAACAAGATGAAGCAACAACTTCGGGATGAAATATGATGCTGTGACATCACCATTATACAAATGTTTATTTAATGATTATGAACACACCACATATTTAGCGAATATTGCCAGCTCCCTCGATCAATATCAGTTTCTTGGGCCAATAAAACATGATATTCCCCGAAATGTGGTCAATAATTGTTTTATTACACAATATAAAAAAGAACATTTCAATTTGAGTTTTTAATAACTCATGCTGCTTCACAGTAAGCTTTTTGAGACGCTCTCGCTGACTGGCTGAAATAATTTCTCTGCTTTGAGTCCATTGGCTTAATATTGTAATCATGCAGGGTAATACCACTTTTGTTCGCTGCATGGCAGGGTGGGTCTCAGGATAATATCGTGTTTTAAAGGTCATGTGTTCTTTTCTGAACTAATGAAATTACATATATAATGTCTGTGATGTACCCTTACCTTAACCCGGTAAACTATAACAGATAATCATGATGACAAATGTGTTCATCATGTGTATGGCTATGTTATACCCACTGCCCTCAGCATTGCTCAAGGCATGACTAGCAGTATTGTTAAACGAAGGAGTGTAATCACATGGTAAAAGTTCAGTGTTGGAAAACTGACCTCTTAATTTGTGTTTGATAACGGACATAATAGTGAGTGAGTGAGTTGGGTTTAACGCCGCTTTTAACATTATTCCAGTGATATCACGGTGTGTCAGCTTAATGTGGGAGGAAAGCCCGAAGTGATGCAGGTCTCAGACGTTAACCACGTCGGTGAAACCCACGAGCACGGGTATGGTGCTGACAAACCTAGAAACATAATCAGGGCGAACCAGGATTCGAACCCACAATCGTGTTTCTGGCGTGCCTCAATCAGACTGCTGACTGGGGGTGGATCGCTGCAGCAAGGTCACTATACTATATGTATCACGATATATAGGTCAAGATACGACACATATCGTGATACACATATTTACGTCATAACGAGTTGAATTTTCTTGACTATAAATATGTCAGAGTAGATTTAAAAGGAAAAGCTCCATTTGTAGAGCTTATTTTTAGTAGTTAATTTTAAACAATAACTGTAACATATTTTGCAATATTTGACTCACAAAAATGCTGGGTGTCTTTAAATGAGTAATAAGTAATTTATTTTAGCAATTGTATTGTCTTGTACCGATACAGAAATAAATGTATCGTGTATTGTATCGTCACATGTAACTCATGGTGCACTGATGTATTGTTTTATCCCCATTGCTGTTCTCCTATTATCATGTTGTAACATTTGTTTCAGGACGCATTACCACATGTCCAAGTAAGGAGGCGTTACCTTACTACTCTGATGTACCCGTTCATAAAAACTAAAGAATGTCATCTTTACCATATTTACCTCATGATTTTTGGCTTAAATCAAAGATACTTTTGTTTAGAGACAGATTATATATTTTTTTCTGTTTACTGCATGTTTTCAATCTTCACATAATTCATAACCAGTGCTTTCAGTTTAACATGTTTATCAGCATCTTCCTGAGGCAAGGGCGTTAACCGACTATAAAAGTTTTCACCCTTGCGGAAATAGGCTGGTATTCCGATGTTACATTTTGGCTGGACTACCGAGTCTATGCATAGTCCAATCATAATCGTGTGACGAACTTGACATCCGGTTCGCAAACAACATTGATTTCAACATGCAGATTTCGGTCGACTGCATGTCTTTGCAAAGCATTTTTACCTTCAACTGGGCATCGACAGCTATTTCGCAAATCTTTTCATGTTTATAAATTAAGGTGCTCAAGTGATTAGATGCACTTTGCGAGGTTACACCTGTTTTATTACAATATAGATCTTGATTGTTGATCAGATCGTCTTGACCATGTTGACTCGGTGCCACCATTTTGTTTAAAGCAAATGCAAGTGACATGAGAGGTGGAATCTGATTGGTCAGTAGGTGGGACACAGAAGGGACATAATAGGATTGTAATAGCCACTGGTGGCGCTACGATTGAGCCCGGATTCCAGCCTAGTTCGGCAAGGCTGGAAACTGGACTTTTATACCGGTTGTCAGTTAATGCCCTTACCTCAGGAAGAGGGTTTATCAGCCAATAATGTATGTTGCTCTGTGTCTCGTTACAATTATACAGGAACAAATACTAACATGTGTACTGAAACCTATTTCTCTACAAACATGACAAACACCCAGAGGCAACTACTAATTGAACAAGTGAATTTGGATTTCATGCTGACATAGGCAAAGTCATCTAAAATATGTTTATCAAAACGTATTAATATGATAATATGATCAATTGGTGTATCACCATGATCACTAATCATGCTAATCACAATAGTTTACATTCATAAAATAATTGGATTGATGTACATATACTATGTATGCAGTAGACACAGAAAAATATCCTGCATAGAACAATGTTTTTTGTTTGTTTATTTGTTGTTATGTTGTTATTGGCAGTCTGTAAATAAACGAGTCTGGACAAGACAATCCAGTGATTGACATCATGAGCTTCGATGCATAGAACAATGTAGAACATGTAGAAATTAAGTAGTAGAATATGTAGAACATGTAGAATATGTAGAACATGTAGAAATTAAGTAGTAGAATATGAAGAATATGTAGAGACATGTGGAATATGCACATGATGTAGAATATGTAGAATATGCACATGATGTAAAACTTGATGAATATGAAGAACATGTAGAACATGTAGAACATGTAGAACATGTAGAATATGTAGAAATATGAAGAATATGCACATGATATAGAACATGTAGATTACATAGATAATGTAGAATATGCTCATGATGTAGAATACATTGAACATGTAGAATATGGTATACAATAAATAGGAATAACATCAGCAAGTCTAGTAAAATTCTGTTTGGTTCAGTAATCTGAGCTAATAACATGAACAATAACCCATAAACATAAACTCAATAAACATTCTGTGCTTATTGATATGATTGAACTACAAATGTTCTTCGAGGTCAAGTAGCCAATAAAGGGAATTATCAGGAGTAGACATGGTAGCTCTTACCCTGCCTTCACAATGAAGAGGAACTGTACCACAGGAATCAACTTCAGCAGATCATAGGCCAGGAATAGACCAACTGCACGTAGGAATTTGGAAAAGGCTAACAAGCCAACATACAGGGTCAAGCTGCAAACAGAAACAGACACTCATCAAGATTCACTCGCATCAAGGATGTCGAAAATCAAAACAATTCATATTCATAATGTCAACTGAAGATAATATGATTGGTCTCAACAAAGGAATAAGTAACACATCAAGATAAGTGAGAGAGTGAGTGAGTTGGGTTTAACGCCACTTTTAACATTATTCCAGTTATATCAAGGCGTGTCAGCTTAATGTGGGAGGAAAGCCCGAAGAGATGCTGGTCTCAGACGTTTATAATTGGGGATTCGAACCCACAATCATAGGTAGGTTTCTGGCGTGTCCAAGGGACGCAACTCTGCACAGCGAATCGCGGCGCCTTAGACGACTGGGCCACCCGTGCCCCCCATCAAGATAAGTAAGCCAGTCAGCATGGTCAGGGACAGAAATAAGCACTAGCCCAGAACAGTTTAGTTAATGTTGAAGGTATCCTAAACATGTTAAGGGATCGCAGAATTTCAAACATTTTGAGGTATAACTATATTTTATTACTATTTCGGCTAGTAGACTTTCTTCATTAATTTCTATCCCTGCCAGTACATGGTGAAAGCAATAGTTGCTTCACATGGTAAAAGACGCAGCTGATCATGCTTATCAACATGTTGACTTCAAGATGAAACTTGCTGACACAAGCATGATTTGTGACAGCTCAAAACCTGCACCATGAAACATAAACATGCCCCACTGAAATATTACAGTGATTAATCACGAAACTAGAGATAAGAGTACAGCGTACTGAGCACACCGGTAATCAGATTTAAACTGTGCAGGTATTGCTTAAGAAGCTGAAGTGCTGCATACTTTCAAATGCCTCTCATATATATGCTAGTGAAGAATAATGTTTGAGCATATCAATGTACCAGTACATTAATACAGTATACTTTGTTCAAAGGCTATCATCAATATTTCCAGGATTTTTATGATAATGTCATGATAGAATAGAGAAAATTTAATCTCATTAAAAGAGTTAAAATTTGAGGGCACCTCCATAGAACTTAAATGGTCGTGTCAGGTGAACCCTGAGCAAACTTTGACAGCCCACTCTAACATGCTCTAAGTCAGTAGGAGAAGATTGCATGGGTTTTGGGCCGTCAGCTTTCGAAAATGTTCGGCTTCATTTTATTACCATCATTATTCAGAAAGTTGTACAAATTATCAAAAACAACCCAGAGAGAAGAGAATATTCCTTTGACAGTACTGTTTTGGGATGTAGATCATCGTAAGTTGATGCCACAGCGCTCAGAAATGACAGAGTGGATGAAAAAATGACGACAATATAATCATGATAATGGTGCTGCTATATTTTCTACTTTTGCAGCCAGTCATTTCTGTTCGGTTTCAAGGTAGAGAAATCAAATATGCTGGTTTGAATTTAAAAGCCCTGACGCTGGTTGGAAAGTTCACCTGACACGACCTCCTTTCTTTGGAGCAGTCCTAATACCTTCACATGCAGATTTATCATATCAGAGAAAAAAATCGGATTTTGAAGAGATTGAAGATATATAACTGGTGTCAATGTAGAGCTAGGTTACGTGTAGACTTAACCACTCCAAATTTAAAATCTCATGCTCTGTGTTTGGTTCCAAATTCAATTTTGAACAATTAATCATGAGAAGAGTACTGGTCACCTAGCTCTACATGGACAACACAGTGTTTATCTCCTAATTTTGGTGATATTCCAAACCATGAAGACAATGCATCATTGTGCTAAGTTTATCATGTTTATTTTCATAAACACTTTGATCATGTTGTTTCTTTGCATCTCCAACAGCTGATATTGATTGAAATTAGACTAGAATATATACTAAATGATCATGATGACTTATATTCATAACTGTACACATGGTACAAGCCCTTATATCGAAAACAGAAAAAAGACATGGTGCCATCTTTGGCTTGTAAAAGTTTTCTGTTTTCACTGCACAAATTTTTTACACAGTCCTTGTTGACCACATCTTGTCAGGTGACAATGACTGAGCATGCTGAGTGCAACTTGTAAATCATCAAACGGGAGTGGCGCACATTTTCAGATCTAATTAGCGTTATCATGGTTATGGGGGCACAAACGCGCTTCGCCAGCTTCCTGGTTTGGCTATAGAATGTATTGATTATTTGACGCTCTACCACTGCATCAAGAGTGCCATGACATGTAATTAGTGCTCGTTTAATGGGTCATTTGTACCTCATTAACACGCATGTGCAGTTAAGTAAATAATGAATTGCACATGCATGCTACTGACATCACCATGATCACATCCTCTCCATTTATCTTTTTTAGGAAGCCACGCCTGCCATTGTCTATCAAAATGAGTAACCAATCAAGCGACGAAATGTGTTAAAATGGACTATACTCTAATAGGATTACCCTCGTTGAATTATCGGAAACACTAATGAAAAGGTAAGAATTTATGGCTAACCCTAGCTCTAACCAGGCTAACCTTAACATGCTTAAGGATCGAAAAGGGGTGTTGGATTGGAAAGGCATGTCAGCTACCTAAGATCGAAAAGGGGAGTCTGATTGGATAAGGGTGACAGCTCCATAAGATCGTAAAGGGGTGTTGGATTGCCAAGGCATGTCAGTTCCCTAAAATCGCAAAGAATTGTCGGATTGCCAAGGCGAGTCAGCTCCCTAGGATAAAAAAGGCGTGTTGGATCGCCAAGGCATGTCAACTCCCTGAGACGGGTGCAAGAGCACTCAAGCGAGAACCAGTACAACAGTATAGAGTCAGCTGTATCTACAGCATGGTAATTGAGCTGTTGGTAGAAGCTGCGCCCGGTAAACTGCATTGTTCAATTTGTGCCCATAAAACTGTATGACAGGCATGCGGTTATCTAGTCCATTCCCTTAATGAATAAATAATAACACTTTTGGTAATCTTACCTAGACGTTGAACTGTATATAGCTCGACCTGACAGCATTTTTGACAAATAGACTGCTTGCTTACTCCTGTGAATGATTCAATATCCAGATAGACCGTTTAAACTGCCACTTTATAGTTTATCTAAGGTCTTCTTTGTTAATGGCATTGTTGAAAGGTCCTTTCCTGAAACTCCCTTCAGCGTAGGGTTTTGTTGTACAAAATAAGCAGATAATCTACTCGCAAATGAATCTGAACAAAACATCGATGCTTCTGTCAATAACTCGGACAACAGCCGGCACTGAGGCTTGGAGTCGTATCTCCGTAATTTGGTAACAATTGAAATTTTCCCTTATAAATGCGCTCAGATCTATCCATGAAAATGGTCTGAGTGAAGTTGCTCAAATCAATTCCGCACGATACGTGTAAAACAAAACTTTCTTCGTAGCCAGGCTGGCACTTTCATCCACCGGAAGGAAGCAGCAGACGGGATTCCGAGTCTGCGCAATTGAGAGCGATTTATTCAAAAGTTAGAACTCCTCGCTGAAAAGTGATTTTATTTACGAGGTGAGGTGAAATGGGGTTCAGCGTCGCACTCAAGATTATTGTACTTTTATGGAGTCATGCATGAACGTATGTATGTGAGTGTGGCTGCTTGTACTAGTCCTGACTGTTGCCGATTTTAAAGTGCTAGAACACTGAGATACCGAGCCGAGAGCCGCGATGGGGTCCTACAGTCAAGACATGACCCGACATCACGGCCGAGAACATCCAATGTAGCACCAGCACAGCATAACCACTAAACCAGGAAACAAGGCCGGCTACCGTCGAAACATAAAGTGAAAGGGTTATCGGTCTGTTATTACCTCAAGTTGTGGTAATAAAATTATGACGAGTACGTGTATAGATAGGGAAATTATCTGGGAGTACAGCTATATCAACTTTTCAGTCCCAAACCCACGGGAAATGTTTTTAAAAAATCGCAGAAAAATACGAGGGTAATCGGCCACCACAGGACCCCATCGCGGCTCTCGACTATGAGATACTATGCCGCAATTTTACATGAATACCCAACTCTGACACAGAATACTGACTCCGAGCCGACCAGTCCTTCAGCCACTTATGCTGTACGTCAGACAGTGTAACAAGTACCATCTTTTGACGTCTTTTGGAATGACGCGGCCGGGGCTCGAACCGACGACCTCTCCGGGCAGACGCACTAGACCACGGAGGTGATCTTTAATTCACGAAAGGCCATTTATGTGAAACGTATCCTCGCTGTAGTGTTGACGCGTTTTCAGGTTGATGGTATCTTTCATGTCGTTTCACTTCATGGTGACCCTTTCTGGTTGGTATATCTTTTGAAAAACCATGAACTCATTTCACATCGTGGAAAATACAACACAAATACGTAAATATATAGCGATTATTAAACGAACAAGTGTGTCATACTGATTTTACGAAACGAGTGGCATCGCAGTCCACGGCATGCTGATAACATTGATCACTGGCTTGTCTGGTCCAGACTCGGTTATTTACCGGCGGCGTCATACAGGTGGACTATTGTTGGAGTGCGGCGTTACAAAACAAACAGACATAATACACCTTTCATTATTCCTCCATAAAACTTTGCAAATATATCAGGTTGGTAGTACCACAGTGCCTATTGTAATCACAGAAAGTCCTGATAACTGGAGTAAGCCTAAACACACCAAATTAGTCAAAGTCTAACGAACAGCTACATTCTAAAATTAGCAACAATAGCCATGACAGAGAAACATACTTGACCTGTTCCTACGCAGCGATATCTAGTATTTGTCGGCTGAGCTTCTAATTGAGACATGTGTGAAGCCCATTTATGGTGTCCCCCGCCGTGATATTGCTGGAATATTGCTAAAAGCGGCATAAAACCTTACTCACTCACTCTAATTAAGACACACTTCACAACGTTTAACCGACCTGTGAAATGAGCGCGTAAATAATCTACCGAAGAGTACAGTCAATAACGAAGGAACTGTTTCCGTAATTTGTTTGTTTTCCCGACATTTCTAACATCTTGTTTACACTGATGCATAGTTTTCGCATTGAATTTAATCCTACGCATCACTAAATTGTCTAGAATTGTTTCCACAAGGGAAGTAACTCTGCTATACTTATCAGTCGTCATTGTTGGCCTTGCATGCTGACTTGCTGTATTGATTGTTGTCATTAAGGAGTGTGGTTGTGGACAGTGTACATATTTTTCATATTTTTACATAATTACAAAATTAGAATTGTATAATCATTGCAAAAACAGTTTACAGTGCAAGCAATCAATTTGGAAGGCCTATATTGATTTGGATTCTGAGATTGCGTGTAATACTATTTGCAGCAATAATAATGGTTCGCGTGTATTAACGTTAAACTAGAACTGCTTTCCATGTCACCAGGCTACTAGCTCAAGATCATATTTTAGGCGTTGCTGGACAGACTCTAAATGAAAGCAACTTAGATTACAAAAGATTACAGGTTCTCAATTTGCAGAATCAGTGACACTTTCAGCTGACCAGATTTCCACCGGCAAAAGGTCAATGACTCCCCTGAATGCACACTGACGAATTTATTGTACAATGATTATATGAAACTATTCCGTGTTGTCGGGATAATGATGAAATACGTGTAAATTCGTGCACAATGGTTACGTCGAAAAGATTATAAAAATCTTAAATTCTGTCGTTTCTTCTGCCCTCTACATGTATATACTATACTTATGGAAGTCTAGAAGGGACATTGTCGCGTTGTCGGCCTTACAAAAACAAGCAAAAAGTGTTAAAAACACAAACAAAGCGCGACAATGCGACATTTTAGCCACTTGCCGCATTGTGGCGTTGTCACCCTTTGGTAAAATAAAACAAAAGATTATACAAAGCGCGACAATGCAACAATGTCGCTTCTAGGATTTCATACATACTAGATATATAACATATGGATATGCAGTCACACAGCTGTCATTTAATCGATGGATATAGGCCTAAATGAGGCATACTAGTTCAATATGTATTAAAATGTATCGATTATTAATAGTTGATTCGCCTGTGTCAACCGATGTTACGCTATTTCTGGCAACCAACTTGGTTGATGATTTTTTAGCGTTATTTTGAACTTTCTTGTCGTTTTATATACGTTAAATTGAAAAGGTACAATGGCAACTTTACCCCAAACACTCGTTAACCTCTCATAGATGGTGTTATAGCAATACCTACGACTATTGTGTTTCTCCTTCGCCTGGTAGCCATTTTGTATTTTATTTGGAGTTCTGCCCAAAGGTAACCTGCATTAACACTGGTTAACTCAAGTTAATTCAGACCGCCTCCATGGTCTAGTGTCCGCCCGGAGAGAGGAAGGTCCGGGGTTCGATCCCCGGCCGCGTACCATACCAAAAGACGTTAAAAGATGGTACTTGTTGCTACCCTGTCTGGCGCTCGGCATTAAGGGGCTAAAACAAGAACTGGTCGGCTCGGAGGCAGTATACTGTGTCTGAGTGAGGTATTCACGTTAAACTGTGACATGGTATCTCAGTGAGCTAACACTATAAATCGGCATCAGTCCGGACTAATACAAGCAGCCACACACACACGCACACACACACGTACACGCACACACACACACACACACACACACACACGTCACAATAATCTTGGACGCGACGTTAAACCCCATTTCACCTCACCTCAAGTTATTTCAAGTCAACCCTGGGTGCCCAAACTGTTGTTATATCGGTCGAGTCGGTAATAGCGTGTTGATTAAAAATATAAACAATGTGTCGATCATAATGTTTCATCTTCGTATTTCTGAATCAAATATCCACAAATGCCCAGGACACCGCTTGCAATTATTTAGGATATTTAGGTCGACTCATTGTAAAATCTCAACTCGTCGTTATTCTGTTGCCACGGTATGACGAAAATCACGATTAAATAAAGAGACCAGAGGGGGAATCTGTCTCAATTTAAGCCATATTTCTAACATTCCAACAAGCAGCGACAGATAGGCTGTAAGTACTTACAAGGTTAGATTCGTGTATGCGTCCTCCATGCCACATACGTATGTGTGATCTATATACTAGTATTATAAACCATCGCAATAAACACGTGTACATCTGTTACATGCAGGTCATTTCGACATTGTGTGTCAAACAGATGCTTACATTGTATATATTGTATTGTTGATAGAAAATGTATTCTTTAAAATGTTCTCAACTAGTTTTAAAATCGAAACTTTGATACTCTAGTTATTCTAGTGTCCTTCGCTGACAGGTTTTTATTCCTTTAAATCTATGTATAATGTGTCAGTTCTCGTCACGATATGGCTGAAATATTGCCGATGTGACGTTAAATATTAACTCACTCACTTACATTGTAACACACATAACAGGTAAAAAAATAGGTTGGATGTGTACAGTTTATGTTTTGACTTATTGAATGGTAGCCTTAAATTTATTTAATTTTATCGGAAAGAAAACACAGCTATATAAACACATTATTGGTTTGTGGTACGAACGAATATCACTATCAGTTTTTGCTATAAATAAAATTAGCTGTATCAATATAAGGTAATTACACAAACTGTTTTTACGTTGTGATTCATTTTACAAATACTGATAATGACTGAGTCGGTTAAGATCGCTGACTTTGTGTGCTTGCGATTAGGTGCCTCACTCTGGCAGTGTGGGTTCGAATCCCGGATGGGAATGAACCCCCCAAAGTACTAGAATCTGTACTGTTCTAAGAAAGTCTTATCCCAAATATAACACGTGATGTTTGGGTTAGTCTATAGCAATGGAAATGTATCAGTCGATGGATGAGTAATCCACTCAACCATGACCTATGTCATTTTAAGCTGTCTTGACAAGTTGGAGCGACACCTCCGCCGAAAACACACACAAACACACCAGGTCCTTGTAAACATACACCTAGACATGGTGTAAATCAATACATTCATGCTTCATTTAAGATCTGTTCGATGCATAACAGTATTCTCTATGACCAAGAGATGTGTGGTTCGCATGTAAGATGAAAAGTAAAATGTTCTCGTCATCAAATGGCCTGTTTAATTATTACTGATATGTCAATCATTGGCTTTCGAATTCGTCTCCGTATTTTTTACGATTATTTTCGTTCCGAAACAGCCGAAATAAGAAACCATCGATGACCTTAGTCCTGAAAATTCTTGAGTTGCGAAACATTAAGTAAGAAAGATCCTATCTTGTTTGGGGCTGTCCATAGACTCCCGTTCTCATTCTATGATGCATGTAATACACCATTTAATAAACATACAAAATTACGTCTGTAAAAAAATATTAAAATGGATTGAGAGTTGGCAATTGTTGAGAATAAAGAAGCTGTTTAGAATACAGCATAACCATTTTAGTGATTAAACCATTAAACAGAAGAAACCGTTAAATGTGATATTTACAGACATATCCAAAACTAAACTATGTATGTTACTTCATATGTGTATGGATGGGTTCGAAAAGATTACAGGTTACCTTATCAGATACAGTATTTCCTCCCATTCCAGATAAAACTGGCGCATCAGTTCTGATCATCATAGAACTACATGAAACATCAACAATATAACAATAATTGAAATGCAAGAGAATAACCAGTCCAGATCAAATTTGGCGTAAAGTGCAAAATATCATAAAATTTCATGAATGGACAACTGAAATTCAGTGATGACACCAGGTGTTCGCACGGGTAAGCATGTCCTGCCCAACAGGGAGCACGCACCATTCACACAATTTGCATAAAAAAAGCACAGGAAAGATGTAAAACAACATAACAACATATTTGGGTGAAGACTACTTTATTCTAGAACAGAATAGAAACCAATAACGTTCTTCCGAACCTTCACATTTCAAGATACTTTTTCATATTTATACACATCATCAACTGAAATTTCTTGACTTAACGATACCAGGACGAAGAATTGGTCACTTTTACTCATCAAATATTTTCCCTTTCGTGGGTTCCAGGAATGCATTAAAATCAGCAGAAGGAAAATGGACTACACCCATGCCAAAGATGGATTCACGTCTTTCAACGATCCCCTTAAACATGTCACCAACATGAAGCACGTGACTCAGAGTGTAGACACGTCTTGGTGTCTGCATCCGAAGATTGTGTTGCGATTTCGGATTTTCTCGTTCATTGCCCTCATCAACCTTCAACATCTCACCCACCTGAGGATGCCGCCATTGACATACACGGCACAATGAAGAGCAAACAACCATGAAACTCTGCAAAGTTATAAGGATGGGTAGGACTGGTGCCAATGTATTATTATCAAAGACATTTAAACTTATTTATCCTAAGTCTTAACATATGTTGACAACTGGGCTTAAAAACATCAAATAAATCAAATACTAATAAGACAAATATTTCCTCATAGCTATATTCTTCAATTAACAACAGTAACCATGGCAGGGGTATATACTTGTCCTGTACAACAGGACAAGCAATATCTGTTCTTTTTCTGGTGAGGTTTTAATTATGGCCTGTCCACTTCACATTTTACCGACCTGTGTCATGAAGAGAAATTAATCTACCAAAGAGTAGGGTCAATAATGAAGGAACTCTTGAATGATCCCAGCCAAGGCCCATAGTCATTCTTGAATGATTCCAGTCTAGGCCCAAGTCGCTATCTACCAAAGAGTACGGTCAATAATGAAGGAACTCTTGAATGATCCCAGCCAATGCCCATAGTCATTCTTGAATGATTCCAGCCTAGGCCCAAGTCACTATCTACCAGAGAGTACGGTCAATAATGAAGGAACTCTTGAATGATCCCAGCCAAGGCCCATAGTCATTCTTGAATGATTCCAGCCTAGGCCCAAGTCACTATCTACCAAAGAGTACGGTCAATAATGAAGGAACTCTTGAATGATCCCAGCCAAGGCCCATAGTCATTCTTGAATGATTCCAGCCTAGGCCCAAGTCACTATCTACCAAAGAGTACGGTCAATAATGAAGGAACTCTTGAATGATCCCAGCCAAGGCCCATAGTCATTCTTGAATGATTCCAGCCTAGGCCCAAGTCACTATCTACCAAAGAGTACGGTCAAGAATGAAGGAACTCTTGAATGATACCAGCCAAGGCCCATAGTCACTCTTGAATGATTCCAATCTAGGCCCAAGTCGCTTGGCCCAAAAGTGATTTGAGCTAGGATTGAGTTGGGCCTCCTACACCGGTGTTAATGCGTTTTGTCTTCTGTTTGACACAGTCTGAAAGTAATACTTTTACAAGTAAGTAAAGTGATAAATTGATTTAAGCATAACTATTGCTGACACTGCGTAAAATATGGCTAATGTATTGCTATCAATTCCTATCTTTGAACAATCACTTTCTTTGACAATCTCTTAAGGATGTTTGAACTAACAGCTGAAAGAGCGCACCTGTTAAAGTAGGTGGCTCGCCTGTTTATGTGTCACTTATCACAGACAGATTAGAACAACTTAGAAAGCAATAAAAAGATGAATAACTCCTGACATTGGTTTAGATTAAATGTAGTAGGTAAGTATGTGTATTTATTACATAGCGTCCCTCACCTTGTATTTATATCATAGAGGCTCGACGCACTCTGTTTTTGGCTAACATTTACTTGATTATTAATAATGTTTGAATAGTCAGTTCATAATTATACATGATTTGTGATAAGTTTAAACTTGATCGGAAGCTGAGTGAATGTCTTTTTACGCCGTATCGATTTTCGTGCTATATCTGTGCGGTCTGTAATGATCGAGCCAGGACCCCGTTTCCCATAGTGATCTTAGCGATAAGACGATCTTAACTGCCATGCTTTAACATAGACTTGTATACGACAATCGAAGCGCTAAGATAGTTTTGTGAAACTGGACACTGGACTGATAGTATGACGAACTACATCGGAATACAAGCGTCATCGTGCTTTAACTATACTAATTCAAAGCAAAATTATACATTATTTCACAACATAGATACATAGACAGAGCAAACATTATTTCGTAATTCTATAACCTCAAACAGTATGAATGAAGCTTAAAAAACCCCGCCAATGTCGAACTTTAAAAATAGTCACGGCCGTAGAACTCGAAGAGATGTAGTCAAACAAAAGTGCAATCGATGATTCCAGTAACCTACATTCACACATCAACGTCAAATAGTACAATAATGACGCCAGATTACATGTCACCCTCGTGGAACACAATGACCACCATTAACCTTCACGATGGGTTTCCATTGAATGTGTTCCAGTGTGGGAGACATAATGCTGACTCAACTGGGTTTCCTGGTTTTCTTCACTTGCTCTGCGCTGTCCTGGGACCCGGATGCTGGAATAGTTGTTTCTTTCACCAAACGCCCAGGCGCAAAGGCAATCGCTTCATCCAATCAGGATAAAGCCAACCTCGTCATTGACAGCAAGGACAGCACCCACTGGACCTCTGAGCCATGTCTGCCTATGAATTACATCAATAACAAGGACCTCAACGTGCTGTTCAACGCATGTCAAGAAGGACGTTGCACAACATCAACAGGATCGACAAGCGTGCCTTCTGCAACAGATGCTAATTGGAAAACGGTCTTCAAAGCTGGGGTCAGTAATGGACAGGCAGAACTTCATATAAGATTGAACAAAGATACCCCTCTGAAACTTGTATCCCTTCAAGGTAAATTCCACGGACCCACAACTCTGACTGTTGATCACGGTAACGACCACAAAACTATTAAAGTCCTAAATCCCCAGGATGACTACCAGAAAGAGACTCTGGCCCTGAATAACGCATCTGCGCTCGGTATTTCTCTCACATCAAGTCAGTCTTTCTCCTTGGAGGAAATAGGAGCTCTTGGTCAACAAGGATGCGTCGATCGTCTAGTGATAGACCTTGGCTCAGTGGAGACTCTTGGTTCAATCAGAGTTCGATCCTGGCCAGGAGAAGAAACATACTACTCCAGGTTGATGACGTCCCTTGACATGAAAACCTGGTACACCGTGACCGATATTGACCCCAAACTTGTTAATGCCCAATATTACAAGGTAGACCCTCCCGTGCGGGCGCGGTACGTTGCCATTGAGCATGACATCCATGACAAAGACTGGGTTAAATCGTTTGTTTGGGAACTTGATGCATTTGGCACTGATGGAGCCTGGGGTCCACCCCCAACTCCTAAGCCGAATCCTGATAGTTTTCATCAGATGTTTGGAGTAAATGGAATCTGGGGCTGGGGTCTTAAAGGACAGGTTCTACATCCTGGACAGGGGGCCTTCCTGTACAGCCAGGTTGCCTCTCATGCCAGGAACTACCATCAAATAGGGTGGGACATTGCGAAGCTTGGGGACAGAGCTGGGTATGACATCATGGCACAGGGACATGGGACCAGTGCCAAGTCTTGGGTGAACTGGGATACAGAGTATGGTATTTGGGTAAAGGCGAACTTGTCAATCGACGTCTCCATCCAGTTTAAAGCTGACAAGTACCCACCAAACCTATGGACCAACCCGAAGCAAGAGGCATACCAGTTTGGTAAGGATTTCGCTGCTCACTTTGGACCTACAAAAGGCAATGGTCTTGTCACGGCAGCTGAAGTGGGAAATGAACCATGGGATTATCTTCACGATTTCTACGCCACAGTTCTTGAGGGAATGGCTAAAGGCCTCAAAGATGGAGATCCCGGTATCAAGGTCCTTCCTGCCGCACTCCAGTCATTTGACAAAACTGCAGAGAACCCTCCATGGCATGCCAACTATATCGGTACAAGGGTGACCGAGGCAATTGCTCCATACATTGATGTGCTGAATGAACATGTATATAGTTTTGTAACTAAACCAAACGGCACTCGCATTCTATCTTACCCTGAAGATCATATGAGTGAGTTCAACGGCATGAAAAGTATGGTCAGATGGCGAGACGTGAACATGCCCAACACCCCTGTGTGGATCACCGAGTACGGCTGGGACTGTGCTGGAGCCGGGGAAACCTGCACCTACTCCGAGTGTGTGTCTGAACGGGCGGCAGCACTGTACGGCGTCCGGGCTCTCTTGATCATGGCTAGAATGGGTAGGTACAGGTACAGTGAAGCCTTGTTAGATAATTCCGTGTGACGGTTTTTGGACCAAATGTGTGTCCGTATACAGTGTAAAGACGTACCTGAGGAGTTTGTGCCTGACGTTTCGGAACCACGTTTATTGTTGATTGCTGTTGCATTTGAGGTACTGCGGGCTCCACTCTGGGACTGGGACACAATTTCGTTAAAAAAACACTGTGAGAGACACAAGTTTTGCCTTGCTTGTAGATGTCGCTCGGCGCCATAACCTGCTGTGTCAGCTTGCACTCACTGTACTGCATATGCTTATTTCAAGTCTGACGAAAACAGACATGTTTGCACGAGAATGTATTTACGTATTAATTATCCCATTCCCATAGGGATTCTGGGTCAGAATAAGCCCCCAAAACTGGATGGTTGCAACGATCGGCTGATTGTGTTTCATCGTACTCTTACTGAATGGATCGTTACTTAAGAAATCAGCCATTTGTTTTTACAGCTGTCTCCGTTTTCTATAGGCAGAAATGACATAGCTGGAGTAAAACTGCATTCTCTTACTCATGCATCTATGTGTTTCAGGTATTCAAAGAGCTACCTGGTTTTACTTTGAAAATCACGCGACGGCTGAATGCCCGCAACCGCGGATTTTCTGTCGCAGCGGCCTCACGGGATCCAAGGAGGTCAACTTTGCCAAGAAGAAGGTCTTTGATATCCACAAAGCCTTCCTTGACTACGTGGGCAACACACACTTCCTGCAGGTCGTCAAAGAGGACAATGATGCCTATGTCTATCTCCTTGGTGATGTGAAACATGGATCTGGCTCTCCCATGGCAACCCACGTTGTAGCTTGGCGACCTATCAATGCCGACGACACTTCATCTCAGTCTGTTTCTTTGAACCTACGAGCTCATCCTAAGTCTGCTAAATACATCACTCCTGATGGTCTGACCACGGCCCCAACACCGTCATCCAGCGGTGGACACTGGGTGGTCAGTCTCAAGTCTGAACCTATTATAGTTGAGGTCAACAGCTTTGCTGTGTCTGGTGGAGTCAGCCCTGTTGGCTAAATCTATATAAATATATTACAATGTTGAAACGCTTGTCGGAGTTTTATTGAAGGATGTTTACAATCCAGTGAGAGCAGCAGCACCTAACATGTAGCTGAGTTACGTAATCGAGCGTCAACCGCTATTAATAAACTTCAAGTCGAGGTGTCCTTATATCCTTATACACGTACAAATCTTAACTAGATCTTAATTCTGAACTATCAGACCCCGGTAGATTGTATGAATAATAATGAAGGCGTTCGTGAAAAGGTGAGCGTTACCTGCCAAGCCTGTCTCAAACACATGCAAAGGCAAGTCAACTGTTCACCTAAACAAAAACGAGAACATATGGTACAATTAAAAACAAGGAATTGCATTAGACATCACTTTGGTAACTGGTCAAATTTGGAAATGTCTTCCACGATCAGGTCTACCTTAAAATGTTTTGAATGCTGTAACCCTGATCAAACACCTTTTGAGCAAAGGTCGCATGATACACATTGAAATCTGCTTTATTGTACCTCAAAAGTTGTTAATGTAGACACCAAATACAAATTGGTAACACGAATATAAATTGTCCATGCCAATTCGATAATGTTGATGACATAATGTTTATTGAATATAAACCATTGTTAGTAAAGAGGGCTAGAGTACATCCACCAATTCATGGGTACACAAAATGTAGTGCAAATACAATTGTTGACATCGTGTTCTTGGGTTTTGAAGTTTTGATCAGTTTCCCTAAATGTCCTACCGGTGGGGCTGGATACGCTCACCTTTTCGCGAACACCTGGCGTGAACACATGCTAATGATATAGTCGGAATTGTACAATCGACTCTGCTTTATGCAGAGACTTCCATTGGATATGGAAAGGGTTTTGTCGCTATATTTATAGGAAGAAATTATTTCTGGCTCTTTCAAAATAAGGTAAATTCAATGTTGAACATTCCTAGAATTTATCAGTGGAAAATAATTATTTGTATGGAAAACAGGGGACGTTTTCCCTGGCCTGGCCAGAATGTAGTCATACCCAGAAAAGGAGTTTAACATTTCAGTGTTATGGTCTTAAACCTCGCGGTCACGCAGTCATGAAACAACACAGCCCTGGTCTCTTGAAACATGATGATGTGTAGAACCTTTTCGCTCAGTCTTTCTGAAGAAAGAATCTTCATGAATATATAATGTTGCCATTGTCATAATGAACACTGGATTAATTGATTGTAGGTACGTGTGGTGATTCCTTATCTATTGAACGAATTGTTGTTTTCGTGGTCAAGGTCAAGATACCAGATAGTAGGACAAAAGAACGGAATTCATGATTGCAAATGTTTGGTCATATGGCAAAAACTCACCTTAAAGTACAACCACAGACAATAAGTTTCTCAACATTTATCCAAAAATGATTTCTGTCATTATTTGATTTTTTTTGTGTGTGTGTTTTATTTAGTAGCTCAACAACATAAATGGATCTAACGAACCTTCCATAGTTACAAAGAGTTTCAAATTCATTTATGTTAAATGAGGATCAATATGGCTCCGTGGTCTAGAGGTAGAGCGTCCGTGCGGAGAGCGGAAGGTCCGGGGTTCGATCATACCAAAAGACGTTAAAAGATTGTACTTGTTGTTACCCTGTCTGGCGCTCGGCATTAAGGGGCTAAAACAAGGACTGGTTGGCTCGGAGGGAGTATACTGTGTCTGAGTGGGTATTCCCGTTAAGCTAGCACTATAAATCGGCATCAGCCCGGACTAGTACAAGCAGCCACACAAACACACATACGTACATGCACGTCGCTGTATAAGTGCAATAATCTTGGACGCGACGTTAAACCCTATTTCACCTCACCCACCTTATATTTGAACATTTGAAGTTGTTTCACTTTTAGATCAAATTTATGCATTATTGAATCGACATCAAAGACAGTGCGTCGCAATTTTTGATAACATTGTGTATTTTACTGTCTTGATTTGCAACTATTATTGACGTCCAAACTTTTATAAAGTGAAATAAATTATGATATTTTAATAAAGTATTTTCAGATTCCTAAGCTGGCTCAAAAGTAGATTTTAAAATATCTCATGAAATCCATTTTGTAAAAAGAAACATTTAAAATAAAACATTTTAGCTATGTTCTTGATCACTATCAGTTAAAAGGAAGTTATTTGTTAGTGTAGTAGTTTATTCAAAAAGTAATATAGTGATAAAAATATAATGTGCTGAGGTAAGGTATTTCAGTTTCAATTGTCTGAATTGGTACAGTCAATATATTTTTAAATACACAGAATCATGGGAACAACCACCTGCATTTATTGGCATGTATTGTTCCGGGGCATTCATGTCTACCTCACAAGGTTTGGGTGAAAGACATTTCAGCGGCATATGCCTAAATGAAGAGGAATCGTTTCATGTCTACCTCACAAGGTTTGGGTGAAAGACATTTCAGCGGCATATGCCTAAATGAAGAGGAATCGTTTCATGTCTACCTCACAAGGTTTGGGTGAAAGACATTTCAGCGGCATATGCCTAAATGAAGAGGAATCGTTTCATGTCTACCTCACAAGGTTTGGGTGAAAGACATTTCAGCGGCATATGCCTAAATGAAGAGGAATCGTTTCATGTCTACCTCACAAGATTTGGGTGAAAGACATTTCAGCGGCATATGCCTAAATGAAGAGGAATCGTTTCATGTCTACCTCACAAGGTTTGGGTGAAAGACATTTCAGCGGCATATGCCTAAATGAAGAGGAATCGTTTCATGTCTACCTCACAAGGTTTGGGTGAAAGACATTTTAGCGGCATATGCCTAAATGAAGAGGAATCGTTTCATGTCTACCTCACAAGATTTGGGTGAAAGACATTTCAGCGGCATATGCCTAAATGAAGAGGAATCGTTTCATGTCTACCTCACAAGATTTGGGTGAAAGACATTTCAGCGGCATATGCCTAAATGAAGAGGAATCGTTTCATGTCTACCTCACAAGGTTTGGGTGAAAGACATTTCAGCGGCATATGCCTAAATGAAGAGGAATCGTTTCATGTCTACCTCACAAGGTTTGGGTGAAAGACATTTCAGCGGCATATGCCTAAATGAAGAGGAATCGTTTCATGTCTACCTCACAAGATTTGGGTGAAAGATATTTCAGCGGCATATGCCTACATGAAGAGGAATCGTTTCATGTCTACCTCACAAGGTTTGGGTGAAAGACATTTCAGCGGCATATGCCTAAATGAAGAGGAATCGTTTCATGTCTACCTCACAAGATTTGGGTGAAAGACATTTCAGCGGCATATGCCTAAATGAAGAGGAATCGTTTCATGTCTACCTCACAAGGTTTGGGTGAAAGACATTTCAGCGGCATATGCCTAAATGAAGAGGAATCGTTTCATGTCTACCTCACAAGGTTTGGGTGAAAGACATTTCAGCGGCATATGCCTAAATGAAGAGGAATCGTTTCATGTCTACCTCACAAGGTTTGGGTGAAAGACATTTCAGCGGCATATGCCTAAATGAAGAGGAATCGTTTCATGTCTACCTCACAAGGTTTGGGTGAAAGACATTTCAGCGGCATATGCCTAAATGAAGAGGAATCGTTTCATGTCTACCTCACAAGGTTTGGGTGAAAGACATTTCAGCGGCATATGCCTAAATGAAGAGGAATCGTTTCATGTCTACCTCACAAGGTTTGGGTGAAAGACATTTCAGCGGCATATGCCTAAATGAAGAGGAATCGTTTCATGTCTACCTCACAAGGTTTGGATGAAAGACATTTCAGCGGCATATGCCTTAATGAAGAGGAGTCGTTTCATGTCTACCTCACAAGGTTTGGGTGAAAGACGTTTCAGCGGCATATGCCTAAATGAAGAGGAATCGTTTCATGTCTACCTCACAAGGTTTGGGTGAAAGACTTTTCAGCGGCATATGCCTAAATGAAGAGGAATCGTTTCATGTCTACCTCACAAGGTTTGGGTGAAAGACATTTCAGCGGCATATGCCTAAATGAAGAGGAATCGTTTCATGTCTACCTCACAAGATTTGGGTGAAAGACATTTCAGCGGCATATGCCTAAATGAAGAGGAATCGTTTCATGTCTACCTCACAAGGTTTGGGTGAAAGACATTTCAGCGGCATATGCCTAAATGAAGAGGAATCGTTTCATGTCTACCTCACAAGGTTTGGGTGAAAGACATTTCAGCGGCATATGCCTAAATGAAGAGGAATCGTTTCATGTCTACCTCACAAGGTTTGGGTGAAAGACATTTCAGAGGCATATGCCTAAATGAAGAGGAATCGTTTCATGTCTACCTCACAAGGTTTGGGTGAAAGACATTTCAGCGGCATATGCCTAAATGAAGAGGAATCGTTTCATGTCTACCTCACAAGGTTTGGATGAAAGACATTTCAGCGGCATATGCCTAAATGAAGAGGAGTCGTTTCATGTCTACCTCACAAGGTTTGGGTGAAAGACATTTCAGCGGCATATGCCTAAATGAAGAGGAATCGTTTCATGTCTACCTCACAAGGTTTGGGTGAAAGACATTTCAGCGGCATATGCCTAAATGAAGAGGAATCGTTTCATGTCTACCTCACAAGGTTTGGGTGAAAGACATTTCAGCGGCATATGCCTAAATGAAGAGGAATCGTTTCATGTCTACCTCACAAGGTTTGGGTGAAAGACATTTCAGCGGCATATGCCTAAATGAAGAAGAATCGTTTCATGTCTACCTCACAAGGTTTGGGTGAAAGACATTTCTGCGGCATATGCCTAAATGAAGAGGAATCGTTTCAGCACAAAGAGCTAAGTTCCAATGGTTCTATCAAATCAATGTAACCAGCAGGGTGTATTTATGAATAATGTAAACATTGTCATAACTTGAACCTTTTTTTTATCTAATTACATTTGTATTTGAATAGTCTCTATAACCTTTTACTAAGAATTATTTCCATACATGTTGTTTTATTATGTTGGGCACAAACACTTATAAATAACTTGTCCATAAATAGTTATTAAATATGAAATCATGTATACAGAAGAATACAGATGTAAGAATTATGATATATACGAGCAGCCTAGTTCTAGGTGTGCTGCTTCGTTACAACAAGGCCTGGGTCTGGTTCACAACATGATTGCGGCCGTTGTGTAGTCCAGTGACCAAAACCTTAGCATGACTTGATATCTTTATCTACAGTTTGCTGATTGGACGGTGAGGTATATTTAGTCCTACATATCTGGCCTGAAGAGCCACTAGGTCCTTGATAACAGGTAAGCAGACCATTAACGTTTTTACTCTCGTTCATGAGGCGGACTAATTTCTGAAGTATAATTATTTTGATGTCAAATTCTGTCTGAGAGTTACTATTTCCTTTCTTGGACCCATCCATTATTCTAATCTTAGCAGTTTAGGTTGTACATCTCGGATGATAGTTATTTTTTAATGTATACATGTATTAAAAGTTATAAGTTTTAATGTGACACAGTGGCCTTCTGTTCATGACTAAATGCATGTACCCTTTATAAAAGCTGTGATACTGAATGACAGAATACCCATTTCTGCTGAATGAGGTTTTTATTTTTCCACATTGTTACGAGGTCATTTCCAAATTCAAACGCAAAGTTAAAACCAGAAATGGTTTAGGATAGAACTACAGTATGAAATCAGTAAATGACAACAAAAGATCAATGAATAATTAACAAAATATATTAATACACAGAATCTTAGGTTCACAATCAAAAACGTCAATACAATGGGTAACAATAAGTCCCGGTGACAATAAGTAACAGGCCCAGTAGAGCAGTGCACTCACGAATGTCGCGAATTTGTCCCTGTCAAATAACTGGAGAGTTATAGTGTTGGAAGCTGGCAGGAATCCTCTGTTTTCAAATTTCCCGTCCGCAATGGGCAGGTAGATAAGACGCAAATCAGGTCATAAAAGATCTCTAATCGCACTTGTGTACATCCCAGATAAAGGTACAGAAAGCATTCTGGAAACATCTCGAACGATCAAGTCTGTCCCGTGTTTGACAACAACCAACGTCAGATACCTCTAAATCCCATTTCAGGCTTAATACGGCACTTGATATTTTCGAGCTCCTCGGTCATTTGCTGCCACTGACCATCACTACCAGTAAACCCAAAGCACTGTCTATTGCCACATAACATCATCGCCATGCATAATATAATATAACTACAGATTTATATAGCGCTGGTATCCAGTTCGAAGCGCTTCATTTGAGTCTACACAAAAAAGAGACATTACACAGCTAGGAAAACACAAAAGCCTCAATACTCCAAGAAAGATTTGGTGAAAAGATAGGTTTTGAGTCTTGATCGGAACAAAGAAGGACTGTCAATGTTCCTGATATCCAATGGCAGCCTACTCCATAGCTCAGGGGCAACTTTGGCGAAACTCCGACCACCAAAAGTCGCCGTTCTAACACTAGGCACAGAGAGTAGGAACTGGCAGCTTGATCTGAGAGATCTCCCAGGCACGTACTCTTCAAGAAGCTCGCTGATATAAGTTGGTTTTTGATTGTGTCTCGCATTGAACACAATCAGCATCACTTTATACTGGATTCTCTCATTGATTTTGAGCCAGTGGAGGTTCCGTAGAATCGGTGTGATATGGTCAAACTTTTTAGATTTAGTAACCAGCCTGGCAGCACAGTTTTGAACTCTTTGAAGTTTAGTCAAAAGGTTTTGGGGAAGGCCGATGAGTAGTCCATTACAGAAATCTAGATGTGAGAAGCAGCTGTTTTTGCATTTATACACTGGCGAATCTGTCCAATATTGAGTAACTGTCTTTCCTTCTTTCAGACAGGTTGCAGCATGCATCTCCTTTCCATTCTCTTGTTAGTGACAGGCAGCCACGTGATGGGCTGGGATCCTGACGCGGGTTTGATAGGTTCATACACGAAAAGACCTGGGGCAAAGGTCATTGCCTCATCCAATCAGAAAGATGCTGATTTGGTAATTGACAACAAAGATGGCACCCACTGGACTTCAGAAGGATGTCTACCAATGCAATACATTCCTCATGCAGAGTTGAATGTTTTGTTAAATGCCTGCCAGAAAGGTCATTGTTCCAGCTCATCGGGTTCTTCGGGGATAGCATCCGCTACTGATGGAAACTGGGGTACAGCTTTTAGATCTAACGTTGTTAACGGTAAAGCTGAACTTCATATCAAACTTGATAGTGATATTCCTCTTCGGTTCGTCACGTTGCAGGGAAATTTTGGTGGGCAGGCGACCTTGACCGTTGATCATGGCAATGACCATAAGACAGTGAAAGTCATGGACACTAAGGATGACTATCACAAAGAGACGCTGCCTCTGAATAATGCCACTGCATCGGGAATTTCAATAACTTCAAGCCAGGCATTCACCATTCAAGAAATAGGTGCTCTTGGTATTTTAGGATGTGTCGATCGTCTGATAGTAGACCTTGGTTCAGTGGAGACTCTTGGATCTATCAGAGTTCGATCCTGGCCAGGAACAGAAACATACTATTCAAGACTGATGACATCACTTGACATGAAAACTTGGCATAAAATTACAGACATCAATCCAAAAATTGTTAATGTACAATTGTTCAAGATAGATCCACCTGTTCAGGCCAGGTACGTTGCTGTTGAACACGACATCCATACTGAAGACTGGGTTAAATCCTATGTCTGGGAACTGGATGCCTTTGGAGCAGATGGAAACTGGGGACCAGCACCATCACCTAAGCCGAATACCAAATCCCTGCACCAGATGTTTGGTGTGAACGGCATCTGGGGATGGGGATCTCGAGGTCCGAGTGTAAACTTAAAGCCGGGTCAAGGAGCTTACCTGTACGATAAAGTGGCCTCTCATGCCAGGAACTACCATCAGCTCGGGTGGGATGTGAAAGCACCCGGCAACAGGGCTGGGTATGACCAAATGGCACAAGGTCATGGAACCAACTCCCTACCTTGGGTAAACTGGGACACAGAGTACGACATTTGGGTGAAGGCTAATTTGTCGGTTGATGCCTCCATTCAGTTCAAGGCCGACAAGTACCCTCCAAATGTTTGGAAAAACCCAAAACAAGACGCGTATCAATTCGGTAAAGATTTTGCTGCTCATTTCGGACCTACAAATGGCAATGGTTTTATCACGGCAGCTGAAGTGGGAAATGAACCATGGGATTATCTTCACGATTTCTACGCCACAATTCTTGAAGGAATGGCTAAAGGCCTCAAAGATGGAGACCCAGGAATCAAGGTCCTCCCTGCAGCGTTTCAGGCTTATGACAAAACTGCTGAAAACCCTCCATGGCATGCCAACTATATCGGTACAAGGGTGACCGAGGCAATTGCTCCCTACATTGATGTGCTGAATGATCACGTGTACAGCTTTGTAACACTGCCAAATGGCACACGTATTATGTCTCACCCAGAGCATCCCCTAAGTATGTTCAACAGCATGAAAAACATGGTCAGATGGCGAGACGTGAACATGCCCAACACCCCTGTGTGGATCACCGAGTACGGCTGGGACTGTGCTGGAGCCGGGGAAACCTGCACCTACTCCGAGTGTGTGTCTGAACGAGCGGCAGCACTGTACGGCGTCCGGGCTCTCTTGATCATGGCCCGGCTAGGTACATTCCTTTCTCTCTCAATCATCTTTGAAACCTGTAATAATTGAAACAAGTTGTATTTAAAAGTGACAATGTCATTTCAGAAATTGAGCCTTACATTTGTTTGACATTTTTACTGATGTTCTATGCATTCAGGTATTGAGAGGGCAACCTGGTTTTTCTACGCCAACCTGGATAAGGCGGAATGCAGTCCTGCAGCCCAGCACATTTTCTGTCGCAGCGGCCTCACGGGATCCAAGGAGGTCAACTTTGCCAAGAAGAAGGTCTTTGATATCCACAAAGCCTTCCTTGACTACGTGGGCAACACTCATTTCCTGCAGGTCGTCAAAGAGGACAATGATGCCTATGTCTATCTCCTTGGTGACATGAAACATGGATCTGGCTCTCCCATGGCAACCCACGTTGTAGCTTGGCGACCTATCAATGGTGACGACAATTCATCTCAGTCTGTTTCTTTGAACCTACGAGCTCACCCTAAGTCTGCTAAATACATCACTCCTGATGGTCTGACCACGGCCCCAACACCGTCATCCAGCGGTGGACACTGGGTGGTCAGTCTCAAATCTGAACCTATTATAGTTGAGGTCAACAGCTTTGCTGTGTCTGGTGGTGTCAGTCCTGTTGGCTAAATTTATATAAATATATTACAACGTTGAAACGCTTGTCGGAGTTTAATTGAAGGATGTTTACAATCCAGTGAGAGCAGCAGCACCTAACATGTAGCTGAGTTACGTATTCGAGCGTCAACCGCTATTAATAATCCTCAGGTCGAGGTGTCCTTATATCCTTATACAAGTATATATTTCAACAAGACATCTCTGAATCATCAGTCCCCGGTAGATTGTATGAATAATAATTAATAAACGCGACAAATCCATAGTTCATTATACGATTCCGACTACAAGGTTGTGTTTGCGAAGCACTATCAAATAAAATAAACATTGGCGAACTAAGTATGTTGGAATAATGTTAATGTTAGATGCATAGGATGATGATAGAACCTTCACACATCCACTGCTGGCATGTCTAAATCCCAATACATGGCAAAAGTTCCTTGATGACTTTATCGTTGAATCCTTTTCCTCAGGTCAAAGTGTCCTTAATGCAGAAAATCACTTTGCAACAGGTGTAAATCTTAAACGATATATTTGAATCATCATTCATAGGCAGTCTATACAAATGGAAACGAATACAAATTGTCATTGTAACTGCCATACAGTTAATGGTATATTATTTTAAATTACAAAATACTAAAAATATTTAGTGAGGAGGGAGAGAATTCTTCGACCCATCTATCCATTGTTGCATTCGGAGGTACATGGGGTGTGCTGCAAATACAATTGCCGATCTCTAATTCTGGGATTTTTGATGACTTGTTTCATCTTGAATTTTAAGAAGAAATTGCTTCCAGGATGCCTATATGGCTCTTTCAAAATAGAGTAAGTAAGTTAAATAAAGTTGAACATTTCAGAAAAAATATCAGTACCAGATTATGGTGCATATGGAAACTGTGGACGTTTTCACAGGCCTGTTCAGAACGTATTGATGACGAAAAACAGACTAAAGCCCCGTGGTCACACTTGCTGATGAAGAATACTCCATCAATACATTCTTAAACATGTTCGTAATAAACACTGGATTAATGATTTGTAAAATATCGTAGGTATTTGGGCTGATTCCTTATCTTTTGAACAAAATTTTGTTTACACGCTGTGGCGGTCAGGTCACAGTAGCCAGAAAGTAGGCCAAAAAACTGACTTCATTACGTTGCGTGGCGGAAAGGCAGCTCAGGAAAATTGCAACCAAAGAAAAAACATAGTAAAATATAACTCGACTGCATGTAACTCAGGTTATGCATTAGTTCGGGCATTCTCCTGATGGGGTGCAAGAGGTAGACCTTATCCAAAAAGGTTCCGTGTTCTCAAAGAAAAATATGCTTATCAGCATTTATCACAGGTACATTTTTTTTATAAACTGTGTAGCTACGTTTCACATCATAATCAGAAGAAGTAGAGAAGGAGAATAAATGTATTTGCATGAAGGCCCCAGGGCCATATACTCAAACATATACACACTGCATACACACCATGCATGAATACGGAAATACATAAATACAAATTCACAAGGACTATGTCAGATCATTACAACGTCTTTAATAAACATGTAATAAGTAATGTGGTACATGTTTTAAAAAATGTCCATTGTTAGTACCCAAAAGCTGACTTAAGGATATTTTCCCAAACTTTCTGGCAGAAACATATTTTCTAAGATCTTCACAATATGAACATAATGCATAATTATTATGTTTTTAGCGAACTGTTAATCTCTGATCACGTGTCCCAAATCAGACTATCAAAACATCCGCGGCCACGCGCGTCTGTTCGGTATGGGCCGGGAACGCCAAATCTGAATTTCAGATAGTCCCGGGAGAGCCGAAATAATAAATCAAGAGATACTGCTGTTGGTACCGGGAGTGCGCCAAATCGACGGATTACCTGTGAGTGCGGTGAATCGTGAATGCGTACCGTTTTATGATATAAATGAGGCAAACCGAAATACATTACTAGAAATACACTTCTTGATATAAACAAGTTATTTAGAGTCTACTCACGATGCGGATGTGTTTACAAACAAAGCGCTAAAGAAGATCAAAACTATTAAAGAGTTTTTGACTAGCTTTACAGTTGCAATGTGTCTATAATACAGTAAATTGGCAAATGCGCAAGTGAACGTGACTTTAATAGAGGGTGTGAGAGGCGGACAGACCATGTGTCAGAACTTCCTTACCTGGATTGAACATTAAACAAAGCCGAACACATAATTCGATGGATTCTTCGATGGAACATTAATTGATTATAATGAATATGTACATTTTAAACTTTTTATACATTTTTACTAAAAATGCATCAATTAAACATTAACTTCTCGGAACTTCTTAACCGGGACTGAACATTAATATAAATATGTACATTTTAAACAGTCATTTACTTTAATACATAAATACTGTAATGAAATTGATGGGCGGTACTCCTTTGTTCTCGGTTTATTTGGACTGCCTCCGTGGTAGTGGTAGAGCGGTAGAGCGTCCGCCCGGAGAGCGGAAGGTCCGGGGTTCGATCCCAAGCCGCGTCATACCAAAAGACGTTCAAAGATGGTACTTGTTGTTACCCTGTCTGGCGCTCGGCAGAAAGGGGCTAAAACAAGGACTGGTCGACTCGGAGTCAGTATACTGTGTCTGAGTGGGGTATTCATGTTAAACCGCGGCATGGTATCTCAGTGGGCTTGCACTATAAATCCGCATCAGTCCGGACTAGTATAAGCAGCCAAACACACACACACACACGTGCATGTACGTCGCTATATAAGTGCAAAAATCTTGGACACGACGTTAACCCCATTTCACCTCGTTTTATTTGCCTTGTACCTGGAGTGCCAAATCCCGTGTTAATGAACCGTGTCTGAGTCCTTACTGGTCCCGGGAACGCCAAGAGGATTTTCCCTCCTAAAAGTCAAATTTGGCACTCCCGGGCCGACACCGGCTGTCCAAAGCGGCAATATACAATTGCAGGCAAGTGATTAACTGGATTAAGTAATGACACGTAATAACGTGATTAGGCTATATTCTTTGAAGTGGATATATTCTGTCTTTAAAATGCGACAAGAGTGAGGAAATTCAGTCGAAATGCTTATAACGAACTACGGTTATAAGGAACTAAAATTAGTGGTCCCTTTGAGTTCCTTTAACCGTAGTTTACTTGTAAACAGATTCGTCCTCTGCAACGTAATTGCAAACTTGACATATTCTTAGTGTTGTGGGGGGCACGGGTGGCCCATTCGTCTAAGGCGCCGCAATTCGCTGTGCAGAGTTGCGTCCCTTGGGCACGCCAGAAACCTATGATTGTGGGTTCGAATCCCGGTTCGCCCCGATTATGTTTTTGTCAGCACCATGCCCGTACTCGTGGTTTTCAACGAAGTGGTAAACGTCTGAGACCTGCATCACTTCGGGCTTTCCTCCAACATTAAGCTGACACGCCGTGATATCACTGGAATACTGTTAAAAGCGGCGTTAAACCCAACTCACTCACTCACTCACTTAGTGTTGTGATGTGAAATGGAAACTAACGTATCGTACAAGATCATTGCACGTACATGGCGACTTGCATGCACGTGTGGTTGTGTGTGTGTCTGCTTGTACTGGTCCGTACTCATGCCGATATCATAGTGCCAGCCCACAGTTTAACATGAATACCCCACTCAGACACTGTGTACTGACTCCGAGCCGAGACGTCCTTGTTTTAACCCCTTAATGCCGAGCGCCAGACAGGGTAACAATAAGTACCATCTTTTAACGTCTTCTGGTATGACGCGGCAGGTGATCGAGGCCCCGACCATCCGCACCCCGGGAAGACGCTCTACCGCGAGATCACGGAGGCGGTCACATTTTCCTAGTGATCAATCCATAGACAAATATCTCCCTTCATTCCTTTTAAATTTTAAACGGCCCACTGGAACTCTTTAAAGAACGTTTCTAAATCTTCCTTCTGATAAGACTGAGAAGTAATTTCCCTGGTTCTAAGAGACTCTTAAATTCTTCATAAAGATACTAGTAAATTTCATTAAATCCATTTGTAAAAAAATATTTACAAATAAAACATTTTAGCTACGTTCCGGATCACTGTAGGTATAAAGAAGGTTATGCCAGTGTTAAAACATAATGTGATGAGGTTTATCTAGAGCGAAAACAATCATGCGAAAAGTCACCTGTCTTGAAGGTCAGTCCAGATTCAGGACATGCATATCTACCGAACACCGATTGGGTGAGACAAGTCCAAATAAGTCATACACCTAAATACAGAGCAGTCGTGTCCAACACAGAAGGTCAAGTTCCAGCGGATTCATTTATGATAAATACACTGCCGGACAAAAAAAAGTATACACTTGAAAATTGGAATTGACCAAACAATTACAAACGTTATGAAAACGTTACTTGGCTGAATCACAGTCACCGAAACATTGCAAACTTAAGTGAGTGAGTGAGTGAGTGAGTGAGTGAGTGAGTATGGTTCTACGCCGCTTTGAGCAATATTCCAGCAATATCACGGCTGGGGACACCAGCAATGGGCTTCACACATTGTACCCATGTCGGGAATCGAACCTGGGTTTTCGGCGTGACGAGCGAACGCTTTAACCACTAGGCTACCGACCGCCCCTGCAAACTTAAGATCCAAAACATAACTATGATACCAGTATCAACATCGAACAACCATTTCTTGTTTGTTTCATTTTTAGCCACCATCAAACATGGGTGTATACCTTTTTGCCCGCGAAATTGTTTCAACCATCAAAACCAAGATTAATCATTTTGTGTCAGATGTCGTGACTGAGTTTTTCAGATGGGTTTGATTAGCCACGAATTTCATTTGATAAGCAAACAAGTGTAGTTGGCAAGCGTCTTGCTGACACTTGTAGACTGCTTGATCTACACACTGTAAATGGTACATGTGGGCATAATAAAGATATTGGACATCCATACATAGAACAATGGTTGTAGCGTCAAAAGTAGGTTATTGTATCGACCTCATTATTCGATCAAATAGTAACTTTCGAAATTACCTCATACACTGAATTTGAACACATAGCTCTGACAGTTACTTGCAG